TCACCGTCCATACTCACCTGACCTTGCCCCGTGCAACTTTTTTTTGTTTCCTTGAATGAAAAGAGACATGAAAGGAAAAAATGACAGAGGCGCTGTCAAGCATCTCAAAAGATGAATTTAAGAGTATTTTGAAAAATGGAATAAAAGACTAGACAAGTGTATTAGTGTAAGTGGAGAGTACTTTGAAGGGGATTGAAGGTTTGTGCTTAAAATTTGAATAAATAAGTTAAAAAAAAACAAGTTCAGTTTCTTTTGGGTACCCCCTCGTATGTCAGACGCCTTTTTGGTAGACTGCTCTGCTGTCGCTATGTTGCACGACAGCCAAACTAACAGTACATTGATGGGAAGGTTCATCCTTTACTACAACACCACCAACATCCAGCTCAGACATTACATATTAACACAAAAAACAGGAGGCATTATATACGGAACGCCCTTCGTAATCTGTACATACTACCAAAGAACAGTGTAAGGAAAAAGACTCTGAAATGGCTATAGTTGAATTATCGGACTATAACATAGTTTTTGTGTTTATTTACAGATCACCTGATGGTGACCTTCATTCTTTTTATAAAAGATTTGAAAATAGTAAATGAAAAAGTGCAATTAAAAAGAAAAAGAGTAATTTTATGTGGGGACTGGAATTTTGGAAGTGTGTGTACAACTACAATTAAAAAAACTTGCTGCTGTTATATAATTTGGTAAATACAGTAACTTCTCCAACTAGAATTACAAAGAAATCATTTACATTGATCACTGCCATCATAATAAACAAGTAATTTTATGAGTGAATGAAGATAAATATGATTAATGTTCCACACAATTCTAAACTCCAATAAGATTCTGTCACGGAAATGCCGAATAAGCACTGGCTTCTGGAACATTTCAACTCCAAGGAAAGGCAGATGTTGGTATACTGAGGAAGAGCTGGATCTAAAGCTTGGAACAGGATTTTCCTACGTGTCCCAGATTGTAGCTGATGACAAAATATTCAATACTAGAGTTTTGAGACCTGTGCATGCAGTTGTAACATGACTTACTTTGCTGCTGGTCTGCAAGTGCTTGCTATCAATGTCACCTTCTCCAAGTCATCTCATATACAAGGATACTTACATCAATGGTTGCTACAAACATTATGCAATTCAAGATGTGTTCTCTGCTGACATTCAGGAGCCATTTACACTGCATGAATAGCCATCAATAAACAAACCTGTCTCTCTCCATATACAGGGGATGGGCAAAAATATGGAAAAACCTCGTGAAATGCATGCCTGAATTGAAGTGTTTTAGTGATGTTTATAGGTCACGCTGTCATATCTGCCCAACACCACTACTTGTACAACCTCTGCAATACGTTGCATGCTTCATTTGTTGTCTAGACAGTGTTCTATGCAAGTTTTTTGCATCACGTCAGAGCTAACAGAATTTGAATGCGGGCAAATTGTTGGGGCCCATATGGTGGGTGCTTCCATAACCAAGGTAGCTGAGGTTTTTGGTGTTTCGCGAGGCACAGTATCCAAGATTATGACAGCAGACAGGAGGACTGAAAAAACTGCATCCGATAAACACCAGCATGGACGGACATTGCGTAGGATTGTGACGAAAAATAAGAATACTGCAGCTGCAAAAGTGACTGCTGAACTGAATGTCACACTCACAAACCCTGTCAGCACCAAAACAGTATGAAGGTAACTCCACAAGCAGGGTATTTCTGGACGAGCTGCAGTTCCAAAGCCACTCATCAGTGATCAAAATGCCACTGAGAGGACAGTGTGGTGCCGAAGTCATAAAACCTGGACTATGGAGCAATGGAAGACGGTCATTTGGTTGGATGAGTCCACCTTCACACTGTTTCTGACTTCTGGCAGAGTTTACGTCTGGAGAACGCCATCCCAAGCTTACAATCCAGATTGTTTGCTGCCAAGAGTGAAACATGGCGGGGGTTCGATCATGGTATGGGCAGCCATATCATGGTATTCTGTCGGACCCATCATTACCCTGCAAGGTCACGTCACTGCCAACGACTATGTGACCGTTTTGGGCAACCAGGTCCATCCCATGGTGCAAACTTTGTTCCCTAATGATGCTATTTACCAAGCCAACAATGCCTGTGTTCAGATAGCTCACATTGTCCAGGACTGGTTTTCTGAGAACGAAGATGAAGTGTCATGTCTGCCATGGCCCCCACAATCGCCAGATATCAATATTATTGAGCCTTTGTGGTCTGTTTTGGAGAGCAATCTGTGTGCACGCTATCCACCTCCATCTTCAATAACAGAACTTACCATGTTTTTCAGGAAGAATGGTACAAGATTCCCTTGCAGATCATGCAGGACCTCTATTTACCCATTCCAAGGAGACTGCAAGCAGTTCTGCAATCCAGAGGTCATCCTACACTGTATTAGTCACAATAATGTGTTTTTTGTTGGGTGTTTCCAAATTTTTGTCCATCCCATGTAATATTAAAACACTGGACTTTTAAAATGGTGGTAGCCTCAAAATACCAGAGTTTATTTAAATGCCCACTGTTTATGCATGTTTAAATGTTCATTCCTGTTAGGGCATGTGCACTGTATTTGAAAATGCTGTATTTAATAAATTTTTACAATAAATGAATGGAACTGACTTTGATTTAACAGCAAAGAACATAGTGTCACACAACACAAGATTTGAAAATGTTTAGACAAAAATGTTATCCTCTATTTTTAATTTATTTATTCTAATTTTGAAAGCCCTTCCATTTCGGCTGCAAGAGATTATTGCATTGTGGCTGAGATAGAGTGCTTTCAGTTTTCTGTGAGTTCATAGTGATTCATTTCATCATACAATAGCAATGAAACATTTTCTGGAAGATGATGAAATTGAAGGGCAGTTGAAATGCTATATGTGAGACATGGGACTGTGCTTTCTTGTGTGCTTCAAGAAGTATTACACAAAGGCAAGATTAATTTACTGGATGCAGGGGTTGAGGCCTGTATATACATCAAGCAGATAACAAAAATTGTATACATTGAATTTTACTATGTTTAAAAATAAATATTTAGAATTGTGCGTGTGCTTCCACTAAGGGCGTTCAAATGCCTGAGTGCACAAATCAGGGTAGTTTAGTGACAACCATACTTTTCAATGTACCAATCAGTGCATTTCGGATGTTAACAGTTAAATAAATGGCACTTAATAACTGTGGTGGGGAAAAATCCAAATGTAGACATTTTTATATTTTAATAATCTTCCATTTGCCCTCACCTGTAAATTTATTAATTTAAAATATAAGGAATGTTGGAAGGGTTAGACACATCACAAATATACATCATCACTGCTTTTCATTCATAAACTGTACACAGAATGTTTATTAAATTGAAATCTCATCTTCACAAATATACAATTTTTTTATATACAAAACTTGTCAGGCATATCTTTATTTTAATTCTAGAGTGTGAAAATTTTATACCTCCTTTGTATATGTATTCTGCTTTCAATGCAGTCACCACATTTCATACAGACCTATGTCTCCTTCCAAACGGTGGGAATGATTTCCACATAAAGGGGGGGACAGATCTATTTACATATTTACAAAATCAGGAATTATTTGTAAATCCCATTATGAACAGATGATTTGTCTTCATCTTGCTGTGAAAACAAGAAACTCTTATTGTGTCTCCTAAAAACTTCTTTGTACTATATGAGAGTGACAAAGCACACATATGCTCACGTGCGCTCAAGTAACTTGGACAGGTCATTCTATTTCTGACAAGCTACAATCTGCCCGCCAAGAGAACTAAGCATGCATTATCACAGCCTCTATTCTTCGTATAAAGATGGAGGGAACAATAATGTCCTCTCTATAAAAAGGTGCTTGGCTGATGAGAACTCATGTCTGCCCTGCAACTAAGATGGCACTATATTCTATCAAACTAAACACTACGAAATGTTTCCCAAAGAAATCTTAATTAACATAACAGTTTAAAACCAACTGGACAAGTCAAGGATGACTTGGTGTGTATGACACCATGTGGTCATATGAACATACAGTACTACCATAATAATCCCACACCCACACAAATCTGATGACTTATTTCACCTACTGCAGTGACCTGCAAGCAGTTTCTTTACATTAAAGAAGGCTGAGACTGGCGTCACATTCCATGCTTCATAACAAAACGAAAGCAACAAATTCAGATGTCAGTGCCTTTTATACCAACTCTAGAACATTATCAACTGGTACAGATGACAACTTGGTAGCTCAAATGCACCACAACTTGTTCCAACAAAATGAAGGAATATTAACAACAGCTGTGAGATGGCTGAATATGTAGGAACTTTTGATAACTTACATCAGGCGATTTTAACCTTAAACTTTAGAATGAGTATGTCTCAGCTGTGTTTGTTCCAAAACTGACATAGAAGGATAAACTGCCTGTCTGGGCTTCTGACTTGCTCAAGAGTCCAGAAACTGACAAAAATTGAAAGAAAAAAAAATGCATCATAACAAATGAAGCACGAAAGCATGCAGCAAAATGGAAATGATGCTTTTTTTCCCCACAAAGGTGATGTGCACAATGAGTATGCTATACTAGGTCATACTAGAGCCTACATTTCCATGTTCATATGTTGCCATGATGTGCCACAAATATCCATAAAAGTAGGCATGTGATACATAACAATGCACCTCATCCAACTTTTATTAATTTGTGGCTGGACACAGTACTTCGTAACTGAGCCAGTGTCGATACACACCAGATATGGCCGTGACATAATTTTGTTCCATAAAATGAGAAAGGGAAAAGAGTTGATGAAGTGGAAACAATTTAACAGTGCAATCTGGAAGCTATTCGCAATTCTAAAAAAGGAACTCAAGAGGTACTTATAGCACTAACAGGAGTGACTGAAAAAATATAAACATGCATAAGGTGCCTGCTTTAAAGTGGATCAACCTTCCATCTCTTGAAGTACAGTACTGTAATTCTCACAGATTCTGTCCTGATACATTTTGACTGGGGCCTTATAATTTAAAGATGGGTAAAACATATCCTACAATAAAAATAATAATAATGAAATTTCAATGCACCTCATCATTGAGTATACTTCTCCTATCAATTCCATGCTGTTTTTCATGCTACTGCTATTGTGTCATGTTCTTTGTTTTGTAGAAGAAAATAATTCCATTCCTAAAACTGCTAACAGACCAACAATAACAAACTCCTACATCAGTCAGATGTGTTAACAGTATATACAATGCACAGGTATCAGACTACAAGGAAAAAGTAAGAAATTAAGATACAGAAAAACATAAGTGAAACAACACCAGGGCTGTCAAGAGAAGCCAATACAGAATTTGCAATGCCCACTGGTCGACCTTTTGTAGTACTTAATGAGAGTGTCCGTTGTTAGGCTACACCACACAAGTAAACTGAAAAGGATTTGAAAGGAAGCAGCCATAGCCTACTCAAGGTACTATCCTGGGGTTTTCTTCATGGGACTGAAAAAACCATGAAAATCCAAAATCCACCATAGCCAGTGTCCCAGCTGAGATTCAAACACAGTCCCTCCCAAATATGGGATGAGTGTTACCACTACACCAGTATCCAAACTGCCCATCTCACATATAAGCAACCTGAGGTAAGATAATTACCCAAATATATTACAAGGTTTCTCTCTACATTACCACCTGAGAAAACCTAGTGTTTATGTTCATGTACCAAAAGATATCCCTTAATTTATAGGGAAACTACCATCTAATGCTCACCTTCCTCATTTAACATTCAGTTTTAAAAATCCCAAGTCAATAATCAGCGCTACATTTCCACGATTTCAGAGTTACCTCAGTTTGGTGTCACTGCTCCCCAAAGCAACTTGAAATGGAGATGTCACTGTATTTGCTTATGTCATCCATGTTTTTAATGCTAAGTCACAACTCTGTTTTGTAAGGAGAATGGTCTTTGTGTTTAAACTTTGGGATATCCAAGCAGAAAGAGTCTGCAAAATTCAGCAGGCTTTAGGCAATCACGCAATGGGGGTCACTCAAATTAAAGAGTGGTTAAACCGCTTTAAATGTGGCGACATGTCGGACAGTGACCAGTGTTCCAGGAGACCAACACCCCATGCAACACTCCCAAACAAGAATGTCATGTGGGTGCTGATTGAAATCCCAGATTTATGCATTCAAATGGGCTGGTCCCTTGCCACAGAATGTGACAGGTGGAATTTCCAACCTATTATGAAGAGAAACTAGTAAAGTACCAATGTCATGATCAAAATATACAAGGAGCACAAGTAACCACCAAACCAAAAGAGAAAAAGATGAACCTTCCGAATATTATGATACCCCAGTAATGTAACGATTAACAAACTAAGGTGGATTCAGCAACAATGAATACTGCTAGCTATGGAAACCAAGGAATCACAATGATGTTACTGGTTCTAGCCAATGAGAAGAGCTCCAGCATTCATGATGCTAAAACAGATGTAACAATCAAAGGAGGTACATGCCTGCAAAGAGAAGGGGCTTCATGATGAAATTAATGGCAAGTTAGCAAATTGGAATCTGGAACAGTGCCAGTGTACACTATAACATTAACAGACTGTCCTGTAATTGAATCTGGGTACCAGCAGTAAAATGCTACCACCTAAATGCCTGATTTATGGCTCACCTCTTTTTTTATTACTTGCACTATCTGATTACTAGAGACCAGATTTTAATGCAAATGCATATTTCTTTCTTGCAACCAGAAAGTATGCTCATTTGGATATATGTATGAATTACTTCATTTCTTAAATTTTGGACATGGTTTGATGGTGCATATAAATGCATATTTTGCCCATTTTATGATTAAGCATCATATTTTTGAAGATATCTATTTATACTGCATATTTCCTTTATAAAATGTTTTATCATATATATTTTTTAATTTTATGTTCAAATTTTCAATCATGGTTGTGCGTAAAAAAGTAAAGCTATCCCTGTACCAGGCCCTGAAGGCCCATAGGGTTGTGATATGTTGAGGCTCCCACATTATCTAGACAATTGACTCAAAGATGGCGGTAAGGTTGTCAGCCTTACGTGCTTTCCTCCCCAGGAAAATTATTTAATTCCTGGTACTCATTTCTGTTAGAGGGTGAGTAAACCCCAGAGCCTAGTGCAGCTGGAAAGATTAGGTCAACTGAAAAAAAAATCCAATGACCTCATCAGGACTTGAACCTGCGAACTTCCGGCTTGTAGCACATCCCCTTTTTCTTTTCCGTATTAGAATATGTTGCATATTTGACTCAACATTTCATCATGATTCATATGTTTCTGATGCAATACCCAGGATGGGACTTCCCCAATCCCTCTACTCGTAACTTGCCTCATCTGCGTACCATCGAAGTGCCCGCGAAGAGATTAGTCAGAAGCATTCACATGTAGCTGCTATCAATGTAATACTATTCAGCTGATAAGGGACTTCACTTATTTATTTCCGAAGTCTCCACGAGGTTCGTTATGCTTCTTCATTTTAAGCTGGGGGCCAATCACATTAGTGATGACTAGTCTGTAGTTAGCCAAAAGTGAAAATAAGTCAGAAAACTAAATTACAGCTGTATCAGCAGGAGTTCAAAGGAGAGATTATAAGTATGGATAACGAAATTCTTTACTGACGAGCTTGTGAGAAAACGGTTGTGAAAAACGCTTTCAAGTGCTTCAGCATTTGAACACTAATATACACAGAGAGAATATTAAAATTAAATCCACGAAAAATGCTCCCGTTCAAAAATTGCTTAGTGAATTTTCTAATAATAGTTTTCAGTTTTCCTTTGATTTATGCAAAGCCATTTTAGCGGCAGACATTCCGCTGTGGAGACTAATCAATCCTACTCTGAAAAACTTCACAGAGAAGTATACACAGTGCAAAATGCCAGATGAATCTACTGTGCACAAAAATTACATGAAGTAGTGTTACGATCTTACAATTGAAAGCATTAGAGATAAGATTCAAGATAATTTTGTGTGGGTATCAATCGACGAAACACAAGATTGTGAGAGACGGTTTATTGCAAACTGTATAGTTGGATCCCTAAATAAGAATGAACAATCTACCCTATATCTTCTTGCAGTAGAGCAATTTGAAACCACAAATAGCTCTGCAGTTTCAGAATTTTTTATTAATTCCATGAATTTACTATGGCCGAATGGCATTCAGTATGAGCACATATTTCTCTTTGTGACTGATGAAAACCAGTACTGCTCTTAAAGTTATATTTCCAAATATGATACATTTGACTTGCCTTACCCATGGGTTGCACCATGTTGCAGAAACACTTCGTGCTAATTTTCCGCTTGTTGGCAAGTTCGTGTCTTCTGTGAAGAAGGTATTTGTTAAAGCGCCATACAGAAAAGAAGCCTTTAAAGCAGTAGCACTGAGCATTCCACTTCTGCCAGAACCTATTTTAACGTGCTGGACCACATGGCTGTGCACAGTGAGTTATTATACCGAACACTGAGAAACAGTTAGGAATGTTGTGAATACATTTGATCCCAAAAGTGCAGCATCAATTCAAATTGCCCAAGATTTACTTAAAAAAAAAAAAAAAAAAAAAAAAAAAAAAAAAAAAAAAAACTAGAAACTAATCATTCCTATACATCTGCTCACTTCTCAAATCTTCCATCTGTCATTTCCTCACTGGAGGTAAGCAATAGCAATACTACTTTGTATCAGTCATTAACTGTGTTCAAAACCACTGTTTCAAAGTTGAATTCAGTTCCTGGAAGAGTTGAAGTAGTAAAGGAAAAAGTACACAGAATTATATATAAAATCAATACAAAGTCCGTCGAGTGTATCAATGTTTTTTAGGTCACTTCTTTCTCACTCTTGCCTTACATGTTTCGGTTTTAGTAAAACCATCTTCAGAGGCACATGGTACTAACAAGAAAACACTGGCGTTGTTTAACTGTACACAGTATATATGCTGTGTGGGCACTGCTACAAATGTCGATGTGTAAAAGCACAACACTAGCTTGGAGTACTGAATGCACGTACAGAATGCACGTTCAACCTTCGCATTCNATGGTTTTACTAAAACCGAAACATGTAAGGCAAGAGTGAGAAAGAAGTGACCTAAAAAACATTGTTACCCTCGACGGACTTTGTATTGATTTTATGTATAATAGTGTAATGGACCAAAATGAAACAATTCAAAATACAGAGAATTCTTTAAAAAAAAATCCAGCATATGAACAAATTTGTGAAATTGAAGAAATTTTAGCCGGTAAACGTACCGAACTGCCAAGTAAAAAATCACTAACAGTGGAGCCAATAGCGGCTTTTGTACATGCGCCCTTAAGTTCCCGAGAGGTGGAAAGAAGTTTTTTCCCTGCTATAAGGACATCTTACGAGACAATAAGAGGCGATTAACTGTGGAAAACCTAAAACATTTAGTAATTCTGAACTGCAACAGACGAGAAGTTGAAAGTTCAGAGAGCTAAATGTGAGTACCATTGGTTTCTTAAATTTGTTATGAAATATGTTGGCTTTGTTGCATGATTTGTATTTAAGTATAGCTTTTTATTGCAAGTGAATCATTCAGTGATTACATCAAATGAACTTAAATATTGATTTGTTGGTCTTAAAATAATGTAAAATCAATTTTAATATTTGGTATAAATTTTTATGTGCATATTTCGGAAGTTTTTCATGCATAAACGCGTACCTATTTAAGGGATTATTAGGGCATAAAAATCTGGTCCCTACTGATTACACACATTATGTTGGTGGAAAATGGCAGTGAACTAACTGCAAATGAAGCAGACTGTGCTGATATGCCATCGAAACAGGTTCCAGACCAGATGCAGTACATGGCATTACTGTTGTCAGTTACAAACAGAAGAAGAGGTGCCCTATATGTATACTTCATGCTACAATATTATTGTCTGTTAAAAACCAGTCATTGCGCTGTGTATCGGCCATATCTTTCAAAAACAAATTAATGCTTCATCAGGTGGAGGAACGTAAGACACACTACTGTGACTGAAAATAACCAGCCTGAGGAAAAGTATGTACCGATGATGAATCAGCAAAGTCAGCACAGCACATACTTGAGACAGAATTCAAGTTAGATAAGCTTTGGTAGAAATACACAAAAACTGAACATGACATAAAAGATGACCTTTCACTTACATGACAGTGGTTATAATGAATTAAGTCACCAGGTCAGGTAACACTTACAGACATACTCAAGTAGGATGGGCAGATTTGTCAGCAAATACCAAATCCTGCATTTCCAAAACACCTACCTACCAACCCAAGTTAACAGTTTGCACACAAGCGAGACACCCTGACAGCAGTTTCTTGTCAATAAATAAAATACTTCTGGCTTATATATTTATTTCTTTTCTTCAAACTTTTATTAGAAAAATAAATAATTTCATTAGCAAAATCCCTCCATTCCCTTCCCCCCCCCCTCCCTCAACCATTTGGTCAGTAAAAAGTAGCACCTGAGTGGAGTGAAAACTGCATTGTCACCGGTATCAAACAGGGTTCCCACACTCTCAGCCTCTTGAAGAGAAAAATATAAACAGGAATAAAAGACTGTACACTTATAATATACAATTCTAAACTGGATAATAACTTGCTGCTGCATGTAAACACCACTAGATGGAACTCAAACCTAATTCATATATTCTGAACACTGCCAGGAAGAGAAACATCTGGAGCCAGTTACAAATCACTGATTCTGTTTGATCTGTGAAGCAGGAACTAAGCAAGAACTTCTACCAGATTTGTTTGTGGACAGACACAAACTATTACTATGCATTTGTACAGAGATGCAGTGAAGACTGGGGCTTCATTTTGTACCGTCAGTGTGGTGATTACAAGGAAATGAACACATTGCAAAGCAATGTTGCTTAGACTGAAAACAAGTTGTCTTCAAAACTAACCATTAGTAGTACTGCAGATTTATTACTATGCATGACAGGCCCAATATAATGGCATTTCTTAAGCTTTGTGGGGACAATGTTGGAAAGGTCTTTTCAACAATATTTAAATTAAGTACAAAAAATAATAAAAACACATCTTTTCACAAATATACACACAACATACAACTGATGTCTTACGCCTGTTCTCAAGTCACTTATTGTGCTTTCTAGACGTTGATATGGCTGGCATATTTTCTAGCTGCAATGCCCACAGTGCAGTCCATATTGCTTTCAAGTAGATTCAAGGGGCAGCACATCTGTCACCACACACAATGTGCTGCACTTTTGACTAGGCACAATATGGCATTACACACACAGCTGTCACCACTTCAAGGCTCATTGCCGCCGCCTGCAGCAACCAATCTGTCCACTCTGTACCTATTGTATGATCTGTAAGGAGGCCGCGCCACATCATTGTCTGTCAACACTCGTGTCCTGTTGGGCACCACACCCTCACCACGTCCCATGAGCCAGTCTACACACACTTTGTGCTGAGAGTCACTTACATGTTGCGACGCCCAACCCCCATGCCAGCCTCGGAACTTGCAGCTCAACCGCAAAGATACTGAGGAGTGAGACTAGAAAAAAAAAACACTGTATTGGTGATTCAGCACTTTTACAAGGAAGGAAAACCTGGCAAGGTAACCCTCACAGTTTCACAATCACAGCTGGTGCATCATAGTCTCTTGGCAAATGAACCTGTAAGCATTCTTGAAACAGTCTAATGTGATATATTCTTAAATTTGTAAATAGTCATTTTAATCCTGTTTTACTGATAAAACTTCTTGTGTTTACTAGTTCATATGAACACTTTAATAACCCAGCTTATGGTTTCTCACAGGCCGCGCCACAGCTCAAGCGGTTAGTTGCTGGCTTCCCATTGTGGTGGCCCAGGTTCGATCCCGGGTCTGGTGAAGTGGGATTTGTGGTGGACAAAGTGGCGCTGGGGCAGGTTTTCTCCGAGTACTTTGGTTCGTCCTGCCAATCTTCATTCCACCAACTGCTCCACAATCACCCTCACCTATCATCTGGGGCTGGTACAATAGGCCAGAAGTGGCCGCAGTGCAAGGGACTTAGTCCCAACCTACTAGCAATAAATAAACAAAAAATAAATAAATAAATAAAAAAGTTCATAACAATTGAATGTATGGCCCTAAATGACAATAAAATAAATTATATAGGATTAATAAAAAATATTTCACTGAACTTTGGGATATGGTTCCATACACAAAAACAATGAAAAAAGTATACACAAGAAGCTATAGCCCTTTTGAATTTCCAGTATGAAGAAAACATCCTGTCTAGGATACCTTTTCCTTCTTTCTGATTGTTTACAAATGTGCTGTCTGGTCCCTTGCAAAGGCAGTCACAAGTCAGTGTGCATCTTATATTGTGCAAGGTCACTGTGACCAGACATTCCATGAGTGGATTGGTGCAAGAGTCAAACTGTGCTGTTTTGATGGAAATGGCAAATAATTACATTCATTCATTCATCAGAAATCTGTCGAGATGACAGGTCCACAGTCTCTTCCAAAACAGTTCCTCCACTTGATGCGATCTAGAGCTTTCTGATGTTCCTTCTGATCTTCGCACTTTTTCTTGTCGTAACGCCTGCATGACATTTCCTCTAGAAACACTCCCCCCCCAGAGATCTGATTGGGGGAGTAGTTTACCTCCGGACTGTTTTGCCTCCAGAGGAAACATCTCGCATACATGGTATCTCTGTTTTTGGAAAGAGACTATCCAGGAAAAGTGATAATGTGGTAGTTTTTCCATTTGCTTTCCACATCACAGTACAACAGCCGTTCAAACCACTCTGGTCATGCTTGTTGCTATACGAACTTGAACCATCTCGAGCATCATTTGCTCTGTGCTTCAAGTCGCTGCTGACGACGCTGCTTCCGGCATCAGTTTTTGGTCTCTCTCTTCATCTGATGCCTAACCTTTGACCTGTCCAGCAAGGGAGTCCCTGCTAGTAGCTACACTACCGCTGGTATAGCTCTCAGGGTCCTTGGCATACTCAAACCCCCTCACCACGATAAGGTGGAGCAAACAACAAGGGGGGGGGGTAATAATTACATGAATGCAAAAATGGCAGGCATGCACATGTACTGTTTAGCCAAGTACGAGAAGCACGCTATCTGCATCAAGAACAGCACACTGACCACACATTCCTGGAAAGGAGTATGTATGTCAGGATTCATCAGCATCTCAGAATGGCGTCAGGCCACAATCAGTCAATACTTGATTTGGAGGAAAGGGTGTTATGCTGTGTGAAAGAGGAACCAGAACTAGTACAAGAAATTCAGCTGAGGACAGTCTCCCAAAATAAAGATGTGAAAATATTACACAAACAGCTACTGTATCTGTAACTTCTTCAAGGAGGTCAAGGCTTTATACTCATTAACTATACCAGAAGGGCTCTCTATCAGGCATGGGATTTTAGAAAATATGCACAACCAATAAACTTTCTATATGACGTTAACTTGTAACTACAAGTAATTATAACACTTGCTAATCTACACATTCTCCAGGTCACTGTACTGCAGCACACATCACACCTCATATGTCTTCAACAGGCACTGCTTGATTATGGTTCCCAACAGTGGACACTCCTATGCTTCAGTCCTCATGTCCTTGCCAGATGGTGACTTCTCAGTTAAATCATTGCTCCAACTGTTGCCTCTAAACTGCAACTAACTACAAGTTATCCTTCTATAACTTCAGTATCGACCGCGCAGAAAACATGTTTTCCCATACTGACTGGATCGATGCAGCAACTGCTTAAAAATGGACCAGGTATCATTAACATTTTTATCAACCATTGGCTAGTGATGTCATGTCACAGTATGGAATCATGTGTAGTTCATGCATGATAGGGTTCCAGTTAATTTTCTTGTTCATGTTACACAGCGCCTAATCAAGTCTCCAAAGAAACGTCAACTGGAAGAAGCGGGCCAGTACCAAGAGTCCTCACAGTAAACACCTCAATCTGATGGTCCACTTCTTTTTGTGGTGTTATCTGAAATGTTCAGTTGAACTTCTGTCAGTCCATGACATAAAAGTTACAACCGCATATGGAGAAAGCTTGTGAAACATTCAGACACAAGGCACTAATTTTTTGTCCACGAGGCACTGTGCCGAGATCTGTGTGGAGATGGGTGGACAGCATACTGAACACTCACTACGCTGATATATTAGGAGTAATTTAAGATATGCTAGCCAGGCTGTTGTCCTAGAATGTTCTAAGATTCATAAAACTTTCCTGACTGTTTCACTGTGTGCCACACCCCTACATCTGGTAAACACTTCTTGTTCAAACAGTATAATGTGAACATTTTCACGCAGTTTGGTAAGGCTAGAAGTTCAGTTCCTGCTTGGCCAACTGACCTATACACATGCACGAGCAGCAACTCCCTTACAATAAAAATGTGCTAAGATTTTAAGGTACCATCATTTGTGGTTCATTAACAAGGCTGGCTGTATTTAGACTATACAGTGACTAATAATGGGATGACTTAATGAATAGTAAATTTGGAAGAATGTGAAACATAATGATTGTTGCCTCATTTAAGGTAATACAGCATTCTACCATTTTCCAAGAAAGAATGAGGAAAACGATGAAAAACCTTTCGGGAGAGCTGGCAGCTGATCCTCCAAATACAAGTAACAACGGTGTTTTTGCCAACCCACTTGACTAGGCACAAGGGGGAGGGGAGGGGACACACACAAAGTGTATATCCATGGAACTTACCTGTCTTGCACGATGCAGGGCCTGCCGCCTGTACAAGAGGTTCTCCTTGTTTACCACGAACACCATGCGGTAGGCATTGATATTGAAACGACACTGTGTGTTGTCTGCTGCCACTATTGCCATGCCATTACCTGTCACATTATTCAGTCGACAATTTGAGCCATGCTCTTCGCCCACTCCACCTTCACTTGTCCGTTCATCCTCAGAACTGGAAAGAAAAAAATTCAGCATCACAAAATTAAACGAAGATTCCATGTTAAATTCTACACAAAGCCTAAATTTTTATGGCCCTTTTGTTTCCTTTTTATTGCATGTAACATTTAATCTTAACTTGGGGCCCACAAGAGCTAATCCAACATAAATCTTATATGTGGACTTTCATGAATGTAACCACAAAAACATAGAAGGCTAAACACACATACACAAGCCTTATAACTTCATAAAGTGTTATGTACTCATACCAGTGGTTCTCAAACTTTTTACCTCTGAGGGCTGCCTGAGAAGAGAAAATACTCTATTTTCATCAAAAATAGAAGTCATGGTATGTTTGACGTTTTATTCAGTTTATTTTGTGTTTTTCTACATACTATTTAGCATTTTTTTTACTCAAAATTAAAGTATAATAATATTAGACATATAATAGAAATTTTTTTAACACTTGCAATTAACCAAAATATGTATTGAAATGAAATGAAATTTAACTAACAAGTATTTAATTTTTTCTGCAAAGAAAATCAAACATTTAAATGTCAAAGTTCAGTGTGATGGATGGGCCTGCTTTTGAGAACAAAGTTTATCAAAACGTGGTGTAATATCAGAAATGGCCACTCTAATTTCTTTAGCAATATTTAGCCTTGAACGATACGTTGACTTTATAGCTGCCAAAGCAGAAAGCCTGTCTTGCATAAGTAAGCTGTTGCAAAAGGAATCAGAATCTTCAATGCTTTTTGGTTCAAAGTTGGGAATTCCTTGCCAATATGTATCCAGAACTCCAACAAAGACAATTCCTTAAATTTACTTTTTAATGAAGTATCACTAGTGAGAATGATCATTTACATTAAGAGATGATGGCCCAGGAGCATTTTCAAATGGATTTTTAATCCAATTAAATTCATCAAAATCACTGCAAAAGTATTTCTCAAAATGAACTTTCAACATTATGAGATGATCAAGTAGGCAGCTTTTTATGTCCACTGGAAGCACTGGATTATCAGTGTCTTGTACCATTGACACCAGAGTAGGGAACATGTCTAGAGTGTCACTTTCCATGCTGTTTCTCCAGAGCTCTAATTTTCTCATGAATGCCTTCACTTTGTCATTCCAAGAAGTACAGCTGCCTCATTCCCTTGAAGTGAAGTGTTGAGGATATTTAGTTTCTCAAATATATCTGTGAGGTAAGCCATTTTCAATATAAAGTCCTTGTTGCTGAAACTGTCTGCCAGTGAGTAATTTTCCCCCATTTAAAAAACAGAACACCTCATGCCTCAGCTCAAACATTCTCTTTAATACCTTGCCTCTTGAAAGCCATCGAACATTACTAAAAAACAACAGAGCAGTCACTTTCCATGCTGTTTCTCCAGAGCTCTAATTTTCTCATGAATGCCTTCACTTTGTCATTCCAAGAAGTACAGCTGCCTCATTCCCTTGAAGTGAAGTGTTGAGGATATTTAGTTTCTCAAATATATCTGTGAGGTAAGCCATTTTCAATATAAAGTCCTTGTTGCTGAAACTGTCTGCCAGTGAGTAATTTTCCCCCATTTAAAAAACAGAACACCTCATGCCTCAGCTCAAACATTCTCTTTAATACCTTGCCTCTTGAAAGCCATCGAACATTACTAAAAAACAACAGAGCAGTGTGTTCGGCACCCATTTCCTCACACAGAATTTTAAAAAGTGTAGACTTCAGAGGATTTGTCTTGATAACATTGATGGTTTTTACAACCGTCTGCAGCGCATCATGAAGGGGTGGGCTGAGTTCTTTAGCTGCCAGAGCCTCCCGATGTATCATACAGTGAGTCCATACCGCTTCGGGAGCAATCGCTTTAATTTTTGCTCGTAATCCAGCACAGACTCCTGACATTGAATGAGCTCCATCTGTACATATGCCAGTGCACATATCCCATGATATCCCATTTTCATTAAACAAAGCATTAATCAAGTCAAAAAGGCTTTGAGCTGTTGCTGTTTTCAAGATAGGCTCACAGAAAAACAATTCCTCTCACATATTACACTCATCAATAAAACGAACGTACGCAATCAAATGAGCATCTTTATGAATATCAGTCCCGTCATCCACTTGAAGTGCAAAGTACTTGTTACGCAACTTCTCAATTAAATGCTGACGTAAATCGTCAGAAATTCTTCTACAAACTGTCATTAGAGAGGGGGACATTTTTCAATTGTTGAGCAGAAGAGTCACCAAACATTGTTGATACTATGTCAATCACTGCTTGTAAAATCAGTGATTCTGCAATTGTGTGTGGTTTCTTGCATTTAGCAATTCTATGAGAAACGTGGTAAGAGGCTAAAAGGGCCTTAGAAGTCACATTTGTTGTTTTAGCAATTTTCTGTTGGGCAGACTTTAAACCGCTAAGCTTTCTAACAAAAAAATCTTTTGGTTTATTTGTAAACTCCAGATGTTTGGTTTCAAGATGTCTCTTTAATTTATTAGGTTTCATACTATCTGCAGCTAAAATACTTAGACAGATTACACATTGCGGACGTTCATCATTGACCACAGTTTTCGTAAAGCCTAGTGATAAATAGTTCTCATCGTACCGTCTCGTTTTCACACTCTGAGTAGCTTCTTTCCCACCACCAGCTGAAGGAGCACTAGTGTCATTTATATCACTAATCAGGAAACGCTTCATGATCAGTTGTTCATAATCAAGTCAACTTCAAGAGGTAAACAAATCAGCACAACTGCACTGAAATGTTGAATGCATAAGAACACAACATCAAACAGGCATACCCGTCGATCACCACTGAGTCTGGCGACAAACTGCCTGCTCCCTGCCCAACAGGCGCCAATGAGATGACATAAGTTGCTGCTTTCAGCTGCGCGTGTACAGTGCTGCCCGGAAGAGGATGCGGCTACTGTCAAACTATCAACGCTGTCTCTGGCATATGCGTTTTATAATTGTCGGTAAAGAGAATAATTATTAGTTATTTTGAAATTCATGATAATTAAAGCCTGTACTCATCAAAAGTTTTTCTGTATGTATTTTTATTTTTTTATTACTTTTCTAACTGATTTAGGACAGTTTTAATTTTTATTTGTAGGAAAGTATGCTGCGGCCCCCCTGGGGGTCGCGCCCCACAGTTTGAGAACTACTGGCTTATACTGATGCTCAAGAAGAAACTAGCATAAAAATACACAATGTGTGAAAAATGCATTCACATTAGTAACACATTTTCTGTCTGCCCCAGATACCCCTGGGACTGTCACTCTGAACTCAAGCCAGGCTTGGAGGCTTCCATCATTAACCCACTTCAGCCTTCAGTGCCTTTTACCATTGCATTCCATGTGAAGTCACCCAGAGAGATCGCTCGCCATTTTTAAAAAAAGTCATATTTTGTACACTTATTTCTACATATTTCCACACTTCAAAAATATTTTTAAAAAAATGTAATCCGCTTGGTTCTCCCAGTAGAGCCGTTTTTATAATGTGAAAAAACGCGTTTTCGGCTCAAATGGAGGTCTGCGTTATCTTCTACATCTCGATAACTACAGTGTGATTCAGAAAGATGGACACAATTTCAATTGGCTATATTTCCTTAACTATAGATTGCATTTGAATTCTGTAAAGTACATTTGAAAGAGGATGTTGTAAAGTTTCTAATACTACTGCTAGAGCACTCCAGCACCGTGTCAGTTGTAAGCGAGATGGCTACTATGCAACACAAGATTTTTTGCATTCGTGAGTTCAGTAAAAGTGAGTCTGCGACTGCGATGCATTGTGCATTTCGTCGCAAGTTTAACATCCAACCTCCAACGAGGAAGAGCATTTATTGTTGGAATAAACAATTTGATGAAACTGGCTCTCTGTGTAAGGGTAAAAGCCCGGGCCGATCTCGTGTATCGGAGTAGAACGTGGAGCGCATTCGAGTGAGCTTTGAGCGTAGCCCAATGAAGTCAACCCGTAGTGCTAGTAGAGAACTTGGGACTATCGCAAACAACTGTCTGGCGTGTACTGAGGCGTCAGTTAGTGTACAAACCATACCACCTACAACTGGTATAGGCTCTTCGCGCAAACAATAAGGTTAGGTGTGTAGAATTTTGTGACCATATGCTCAAAAACATGGAAGATGAATTGTTTCTGCCTCTTGTAATTTTTAGCGATGAAGCTACGTTTCACCTAAGTGGGGAAGTCAGCAGGCACAATGTTCGCATATGGGGGCTACAAAATCCCCGTGTAACACTCGAACATGTGAGGGACAGCCCGAAAGTTAATGTGTTCTGTGCAATATCGTTAACAAAGGTTTATGGACCATTCTTTTTTGATGAATTCACTGTTACTGGAGTAGTGTATCTTAGAATGCTGCAAAACTGGTTTGTTCCTCAAATGAATGAAGACTCAGGAGATTACATTTTCCAGCAAGATGGAGCTCCACCCCATTGGCACCTGAATGTTCGACGTTTCCTGAATGAATCTCTACCTCAACAATGGATAGGTCGCATGGGGAATGAAGACTTGGCACTTCAGTTCTGACCACCGAGGTCTCCTGATCTCACACCCTGCGACTTTTCCCTGTGGGGATTCATGAAAGATGCAGTTTACGTACCACCTCTTCACACAAATTTGAATGACCTAAGAACCCGTATCACAGATGCGGTGAACTCAGTGACGCAAGATATTTGTCATCAAGTGTGGGATGAATTCAGCTACCATCTAGGTGTTATCCATGCAGCTGGAGGGGGACACATCTATAAACTTCCATGTACGTATAATCAAATGTAATTTACAGAATTCAAATGGAACATATAAGTCAGGAAATATAGCCAGTTCAAATTGTGTCAATCATTCTGAATCACCCTTTACTGAAGCTAGAGACTCCAATGAAAAAAAAACTTGTTCCTCATGATATGGACGACAAATTATGTTATTACAAGTTTTCACTCAACTTACTTCCTCTAGGTGTAATTAAGCTTGAAACTTACCAATCGATTTTGGGAAAAATGCTACTTTTGACCTTCAGAAACCAATGGGAGAGGAAAGTATCAGATCCGTGGTTTCTACCCTCTGTTGTTACTTACATGAGGAATATAATCACGTAGTTTTGAACCCTGTACCTATTTTCCAAACATTTCCAGGAGCTTCCAAACTTTGCTCTGGGCCCCAAATCGGCCATTTTTAACATCTCATATCTACGGTGGGGAAGCTCCAAATATTTTGAAACTCATAGAAAATAATTCTCTATTCTAGAGTAACATGGAGTTAAAGTTGTAATTCAAGTAATTGCGAAGTTCTTATAATGCGAAAAGACGCATTTTTGGCTGAAATGGAGGTTTGCGTTATCTCCCATATCTCGATAACTATTGAAGGTAGAGACTCCAATAAGAAACCAATTTGTTCCTCATGATATGCACTAAAAATCATGTCATTACAAGGTTTTATTCAACTCACTTACTCTAGGTGAAATTAAGCTTAAACCTTATCTATCCATTTTGGGAAAAACGCTATTTTTCACCTTCAAAAACCAATGGGAGGGAGAAAGTATCAGATCTGTGGTTTCTACCCTTTGTTGTTTCCTACATGAGGAATATAATCACATAGTTTTGAACCCTGTACCTATTTTCCATGAGTTTTCAAACTTTGCTCTGGGCCCAAAATCGGCCATTTGTAACATCTCATATCTCTGGTGAAGCTCTGAAAAATTCGAAATTCATAGCAAATAATGTTCTATTCTAGAGTAACTTGGAGTTAAAATTATAACTTTGATATTCAACTAATAGTGAAGTTGTGGGCACTTCGAATTTTACCAAAAAAATCAATATCTCAACAATTGGCTTACCTGCATTCATTGGTATTAGTTCTTTGTGTACTCTGATGAAAATTGTCCAATTTGTTTGAAAGTACACGTAGTTCAGTAAGTGTCCACTATCATGATGTCTTCAAAATCATCAGACTTTGTTAGTTTGTAACACCTGATGGTATTTTTCTCTTGTGTGTGGAACAGTTTTGTACTTTGGAACCTGCTTTTAAGAATGATTTAATTTTTTGCAACTTCCTCTTTTGGCATAAAAATGTAAACTTTCCCTGGGATATTTTCTGTGCAGAATATTTACAGTTCTAGTGGGCACAGGATTTGATTAAAATGAGTTCTTTGAAGACTGGCTTCCGCTGCTTGCCTCTTTGTGGTGCTGCCAATACCGTCACAGGCATTCTTCCCGTGTAAGGTGGCAAAGAAGTTACTTTCTGCTTCTAGTCCGAAGTCTTTGTAGTGGTGATATAAATTGAAAAGATTATTTTTGTTTTTATACTGGCTTCCAGCACCATCACTGAAATAAATAACTTTCCTGACTGAAGGCACATTTTCTTTTATATCAGTGATAAGAAATTTTTGGAACACATAAACTGTGGCTGTATCGTGCTTTACATGATCACTGATTGTACACAGGCTTCAGCATTTTGTTATACTGTCCCCATTGTAGTAATACACAAAAGGGTGAAGTGTAGCCTGTTGAATTACCCAGAGGAAACTTTGAATCTTGTCTTGAACGAGAAACAAACAATTTCCTACAAAATCTGTAAAATTCAAAGTGCTCACAACTTCACTGTTAGTTGAATATCATAGTTGTAATTTTAATTTCAAGTTACTCTAGAATAGAGCATTATTTGCTATGAATTTCAATTTTTTTGGAGCTTCTCCAACAGAGATGAGATGGTAAAAATGGCCGATTTTTGGCCCAGAGCAAAGTTTGAAAACTCCTGGAAAATAGGTACGGGGTTCAAAACTATGTGATTATATTCCTCATGTAGGAAACAACAAAGGGTAGAAACCACATATGATACTTTTTCCCTCCCATTGTTTTTTGAAGGTGAAAAATAGCGTTTTCCCCAAAATCGATGGTAAGATTTAAGCTTAATTTCACCTAGAGTGAGTTGAGTAAAGCCTTGTAATGTTATGATTTTTAGTCCATGTCATGAGGAACAAATTGGTTTCTTATTGGAGTTTCTACCTTCAATAATTATTGAGATATGGGAGATAACACAAACCTCCATTTCAGCCAAAAACACGTCTTTTCGCATTATAAAAACTTCGCATTAGTTGAAATTCAACTTTAACTCCATGTTACTCTAGAATAGAGAATTATTTTCCATGAGTTTCAAAATTTTTGGAGCTTCCCCACCGCATATGAGATGTTAAAAATGGTTGATTTTGGGCCCAGAGCAAAGTTTGGAAGCTCCTACAAAATTCTGGATAATAGGTACAGGGTTCAAACCTGCGTGATTATATTCCTCATGTAAGTAACAACAGAGGGTAAAAACCACAGATCTGATACTTTCTCCCCTTCCTATTGGTTTCTAAAGGTCAAAAATTGCGTTTTTCCCAAAATCGATTGGTAAGTTTCAAGCTTAATTACACCTAGAGGAAGTGAGTTGAGTAAAAACATATAATGACATGATTTGTAGTCCATATCATGAGGAACAAATTGGTTTTTCATTGGAGTCTCTAGCTTCAATAGTTATCGACATATAGAAGATAATGCAAACCTCCATTTCAGCCGAAAATGCGTTTTTTTCGCATTATAAAAACGGCTGTACCGGGAGAACCAAGCAGATTACAATATTTTTTTTTTAAATATTTTTGAAGTGTGAAAATACGTAGGTTGTACCGAAAGTCATGAGCAACTTTTTTGCATGCAACCTGGGAACAGCAGTTGAAAGAGTGTAGGGTGGAACCAGCTGTTATGTTAACCTTGAGTGTCTTGTGACGTCAATAGCTTGCATCACATGACCAGTATCACTCCTAATGAAATGGCCGACAACGATGTCGTTTCGCCAGCATGCTGTCATCAAATTTCTCATGAAAGAGGAAATCCCTGCTGCAGAAATTCACCAGAGACTTCAGCGTGCTTATGGAAGTGTGTGCATGGGTGCAAGCAGTGTTCGAAGATGGGTGAAACATTTTAAAGAATGGGAACACCAGCATCGAAGATGAGCCTCGGAGCAGTCGTCCTTGAACAGCCTCAAATGAACGCAACAAGAGTGGATGAGATCATTCAAGATGACAGGCGTGTGACTGTGGACACAACAGCCCGAAAACTTGGAATAGGGCACAGTGCAGTACAGGAGATGATTGAAAGCTTGGGCTATAGGAAAGTTTGTACTTGTTGGGTCTCGCGGTTATTGACTGAAGAACACAAAGGTCAGCGAAAAGCCATCACCTCAGAACTGCTGCAGAGATATCGACATGAAGGCGACGACTTTTTGCTCTGTATTGTGACATGTGTCGAAAGCTGGTTTCACGATTTCGAGCCTGAAACGAAACGGTAGAGTATGGAATGGCACCATTTGCATTCTCCATCAAAGAAGAAGGCAAAAACAGTGCCACCAGCTGTAAAGGTGATGGGCACAGTCTTCCGGGATGCAGAGGGGTTTATTCTGGCCGAATTCCTGGAACCTGGGAAAACCATCAACGCTGCTCGTTATGTCCAGATGCTGCACAAGCTTCGCCGTGCATTGCGCGATAAACGTCCGGGACGAAACATCATCCTGCATGACAACACTCGCCTCACATTGGAGGCAATTGTAAAGCTGGGGTGGGAAATTCTTCCACACCACTCCTATAGCCCTGATCTGGCACCTTCCGACTACCATCTTTTCAGATTTGTGAAGGATCGGCTGCGTGAGACAAGGGAGGCAATTCAGAAAGCAGTTCGTCAGTGTCTTTGGATGGCTGGAATGGAATTTTACAGAAGGGGAATTTTCAAACTCCCAGAACACTGGGAGAAATGTGTACAATGAAGTTGAGATTATGTGGAAAAATAAAGAAAGGTCTGTAGATTGAGGTGGTGTATCTGGTCTGTCAATAATAAAGCATGTTACTTTACAAAAAATTGTTGCTAATGACTTCCAGTATGACCCTCGTATGTAGAAATAAGTGTACAAAATATGAATATTTTTAAAAATGGAGAGCGACCTCTCTGGATGACTTCACATGGAATGACCCATTTATGAACACGGCCCTGATGGCACACATTTTGTACTGGCCCTGGATATGTCCAAGAATCTTATTCTTGTCTCCTGAAGCTGGCTCTGAAGACTCTTGGTTATTAGTGAACTTTGGAGTTCGACACTTTCTGCGTGGCATTTCTCAATAAACACTGCGTTGAGGGAAACTTTCTCCTCGTCTTACATACTCTGAGTAAGCAGCAGTAAGACTGTGAGTGATGGTATACATCTTCCAAGCATTTCCTTTTGGAATTTTAAGAAATTGTGTGTAAAATGGCCACCTGTCCAAGACTGAACTGCACACTAACACTGGGTAGGCAATGCATCAGCAGTGTTCTAACAACAAATGTGCTTCATAAATAGAAAAACTGGTATATGTCAATTCCTTGTAACACAAAGGGTAATTCCTAAGCATCAGACTATTTCAGGCACATAATGAGTACACCATTTCTTACCTACACTTGGTCTTGCAGTCCGGCTGTTTGCCGGGTGAATTACTGGTTTCTGCTGAGTCACTTTGACTCGTCTCTGTGGCCTCAGTCCCCGATTCCTGCTGCTTGCTTCGACCCTTCTTTTCAATCCCTGGCCTGTCCAATGGCTGTCTTATCTGGCACGAGTACTTACGCCACAGCCTTACATTACGAGGCAGGAACACTGGCTTTCGACGGTGTCTGCCTCCAAGGAATGGTTCCAGCTGCCAACCAACCCAAGCACTAATAAAACATCCATATTACATACCCAAACAGAATTTAGAAATTCAGATTTTCTATAAATTTCCTCCCTTTCAATAACACTAAAAACACAAAAGCATAGTAAGATAAGATCATGATCTAAGGTATTCAAAACCGTCACATGAATGCTCCCATGCTGCTGTGCAGCAGTAAATTCAGAATCTTAAAAAATTAATTTGCATTCAAATGCACAATATCTGTACATTTCTATCCTTTATGCCTTAATCATGGCAATAAACTGGAATATGTTCATGAATGTTTCCTGAACTTCTTAATAACACAATAAGAGTTTAAAAAAGTACCGATAAAGATATATTATATGAAACACTTCACATTAATATTTATAATTCAAACTGTCAGGCAGAACATTAAACAAGACGTTATATTAAAGAAATGAAAATGACACCCATGCAACCGTCGGTAGATTATTCACCTCATCTGCCTCATCAGCAGATGTTTCCATCCGGTGGTCCTGATGTTCGGTTCCCTCAACAGCCACTGCACCAGTGTTAGAGCCTGCCACACCATCAACACCACTATTGGCATAGCGCTCAACATATGAGGACCACTTCTCTGTCTCTGCTACTGGTTCTGGTTCCTCCATCTCTGTGTCCAGCAACTCCAATGTCAACTTACAGTCATGCTTGTACTGCAATACAGTAAACACATGTACAATAGTTGCCTCAAGGACCACAGTTCAACAATCATTTAAACACAAAACCAAAGAAGAAAGTACATCAAATTTGTAATGAACATGCTTACCACATAAATTTTAAAACAATTCTCATCTGCCAGGGCCTGCTCTGCACGCCGCTGGTATGCCAGTTCGGCGGCTGCCCTCTTGTGGGCTGTACTACATAGACCACCTGCACTGCCTCGACGCTGTTCCTGCTGTAGTAACTCCATGCACTCCTGACAGGACTCGTCTGACACAAGATACTGCAGCTGCAAACATTACAAAGCACACCACAGCTGAATATTCGTGACATCTTCCAGCTTCATGATTAAACAGATTATTTTATGGCAAGCACCGATAGGAAATTATACCTTTAAAACATATCATGGAGAAAGATAAGTATCTGCAGCTTACTTCTTAACTTCTTCAAAATATAGAAGTGGAAGTTATTACACCTTTAGGGACAGCAAGAATACAGAATAAGGAAGACCTTCTCCACAGTGTTATTACCCACACCTCTAAAAATAATTTACATGGACAGTAACACATGTCACAGATTGGGAAAAGATTGTACAGCAGGAACAATGAGCAAGGATTTTTTCAAAGAAGCTAGACTAAGAAACCAAGGGGAAGCTCAAAGAATGAAAATGATCTGCAATACATACAGTAACTGTAAACAATGCCCTCAGATCTCATAATCTATGCACACAGGGGCAACCCTGTCCCTGCTAGATCCAGGGCTCTGGCCCTCCCTGGCCAGATATACTAACCACCATGGATCCAGCTTAAGACAGTCTCCCTTGCAAAGTAGAGTTTTCATCATAGGGCAGTAATGTTTCCTACAACCAACAAGAATGACCTGAACATAATGGAAGGCCTTGTTGCAGAGATACGAGGGTAAGTCAATAAGTAAGTTACAAATGGATATACAACTTAAATAAGAGTACTGATTTGAAAAATGCTTCTATTTTTCAACATAATCTCCCTGTACATTGAGGCACTTGTCCCATTGTTTCACAAGCCCCTGAAAACCAGCAGCATAAAATTCTTGGGGCTGCTCTCAGAACCTGGCAGTGACTTCGCTACAGAAGGGTAACTATAGGCACTATAACCACTGCCATTGGTTGTTCACATGGCATGGCCTACCTCATAATGCATGACAGGTTAGGTTTTCACAAAGTCTGTGCATGTTGGATGCCGCGCATGCTGACCCCACAAGATGAAATGCAAAGAATGGGTGTGGTATTACAGCATCTGAATTGCTACCACGATGAAGGAAGCGATATGCTAGCCCGTATTGTCACACGTGATGAGTCTTGCTCCAAGCGACTTCCATTTGTTCAGCCTCTTCTTTCGGCTGAAAATTTTTCCAACAATGAAGCTGTATAAAGGGGAGTCACCGCCTGGTTAAACACCAGGCCAAAGAATTTTATGCTGCTGGTTTTCAGGGGCTTGTGAAACGATGGGACAAGTGCCTCAGTGTATAGGGAGATTATGTTGAGAAATAAAAGCATTTTTCAAATCAGTACTATTATTTGTTTAAGTTCTATATCCATTTGTAACTTACTTATTGACTTACCTACATTTTTTACAACAATGTTCATGGAGGTTCTTACTTTTGTTTACCAGTTGATGGTCCTGCTCTACACGGCAACCGGTGCACCATCAGATGCGAGGCATGCATGAATTTTTCTGATGAATCAGTATGCCTGATAACATTTTGAATTATGAGACGTTATAAACTTTGTGGACTGCTTGACAGCATTATATTTCATGGCGAGCAGTGCAATAAGTGCATAGGAATTTGTTATGATTTGTCAGTGGTTGGCACTCTTGAGCTCCAATATCCATTTATTCTCGGTTACAGTTCGTGAGCAGTGTGGTGTGCCATGGTGTGGTATACTTAAGAGCGAATTATATATTTCCGTTTGAAATATGGATCTTCTAGAAAGTGTCTGCAAAAATTTTGATGTAAATTTCGTGATGAAAGAGTCAGACAAACAATTCACAATTTGTGAATAAACTTAAATCAACGGGACTCTCAGTAAGCAAGAAACAAAAACATAAAGTGCTTACTGAGGAGAAGTTACATAACACAGGAGTCAGACTTAAACATGTACCTAGAAAATCAGAGAAAACGTCTAGCTCAAGAAACTCGAGTGTTAAAGTCTAGTGCAAGGAGGGCAACACAATTGCTGAAGCTTAGATCCTATAACACAACAGTAATCCATGCCTTGCAGCCAAGTGATCCAGCAAGAAGGGTTCATCTTTGTGCCTGGTTTCTACAGATTGTCACTGAAGGTAAGATTGATCTGCAACTGGCATTCTTTTGTAATGAAGCATGCTTTCACTTGCAGGGATACATAAATACGCTAAATAATCACTACTGGAGTTCACAGAACCCACAAAGTCCTGCTACATCCAGCGAAAGTTGGAGTCTGGTGTGTTGTAAATGCAAGGACTGTTGGACATGTGTTTCTTTAATGACACAATTAACTGTGAAAGATATGTACAGGCCAATCTTAGGCAATTCTTTCCAAAGTTAAGAGAAGAAGAAAGACTCTAAGGGTGGATTCATCAAGACTCAACTACTGCCCACACTGCATGTATGTCTACGTAGGCTTTGTCCGATGTTTTCAGTACAGTATAATCAGCACTGGTATTTGGCCAGCATGTTCACCTGACCTCAATCCTTCTGATTTTGTTTGAAGGACAAAGTTTACAATGGTAACCCCTGTACAGAAGAACTAAAAGAAAGTATTTATAGGGAAATTGCAAGTATCCTGCAGAACAGCTTAAAAGGGTAAGTCACGACCTCTTCTGCCAGCGTGAGGAATGTCTGAGTGTAGAGAGTCACCATTTTCAACATCTCTTGTGATGTGTGAATTTTAACTACTTCATTCCGAGTGTTTTTGGCCAACAGGTACAATAACTCATCGGAAAAAATTTGTATATGCCTGGCAGCTTGCAATGCAAAGCTGTGAAATGGTCAACCTTTTTGTATTTAAGGTATATGACATTTTGTTCCTGTGATATAATTTTCATAAAATAGACACACAATTCTACAATCAATTCTGGATACTTTGCCAAGATACAAGTTTAAATTAAAAACTAGGATTTAAATTTCAAATCAGCTATGGTCCATAGGTATCACACTTCTGCATTTCCTTGACATAAATTAAATCTTATCAATAAAATTCATGGCATGAACATAGTTTTCACACAAGCATTCCCCTTCACTGGCAATCTCTACAGTCAGTCAAATGCTTCTCCACAACTCACAACTTTCTATTCCTTTCTCCTTCAGCTCCTAGAATGGTGACAGTCTACTTGAGTTTCCTTCTGATTGATAAAGGAGCAATGGTGCTGGAAGTGACATCCTCAGTGTCTGCTCACATGCACAAGCATCAATTCCTTGCCATTGTGAAGATGCAGGGGATAGCACCTGGCATCTCAGAATTCATCTTGGCCTGCTTACAGTGTTTCCACATACAAAATATGAAAGCCAAACAGCAGAAGAGGTGGACTGATATCCTTCACAGGATTGGAACTGCATGAATCTATCAGTGGCATTACATTCTTCACATGGTTTGTACCAAAAGTACAAGAAACGGAAAGTAGGCTAAACAGAAATATTACCTACTGTGTTAATTCTATTTTAAAAACATCACACACAGTCCAAACTTGCCAAAATACACAAGGCGAATGCATCATTCAATACGCTTGCAGAAACTAGAAGTATGAAAAGATGTCAATGTGCATACTGATGTAGGGCAGGCAACAGATTCTGTTCTTGCACATTACAGAACTAACACAATGGATATTATGATGGTAAAAAGAAGATTCACACACAGTCCACCTATATCCTACAATGGTCCTAGAAAAAAAGAAACTGAAAACCATCAAAAACGGATGAACAGATATTACGGAAAACAATATTAATTAAAACTGTAAAAGTCAGGTATAGTATAGCACCTGAACCACAGCAATGTGAATAAAGTGCAGCCTCAATACTATATGAATTTCCAAAATCTGTAAAAATGCTCATTCTAACAGACACTTGTAATATGTAACGGCAAATCTGTCCCCTAACTTCCAATTACATAAAAGTAAAGTTGTCCATGTGCTTAACTAATTAAGTATTATGCAATGAAGATGTATGGGGGAGTGGTGTATAGCTCCACATTTTCTTGAGCTCAACACTAGTTGGAGGTGAGCAGTCAGCTTCGCAACCTGGCCGATAACTTAATTCTATAATCTAATCAAATAAGCATACTTATGCTTACTACTCTATTAATGAAAATACTCCTTTGTAAAATGCGAATAGGGATTACTATTATCTATAATTCCTGCACCTATGTTATACTGGAAGTATAGGTTTCATCTCATATTTATCACAATTATAAATACTGCAACAAGAATTTTATTAATATTGTCATGTGTTGGGTGTATAACGCGACAAATAACTTCACGCCGTGTTGGATATAGCGAATTTATTGCTTATTCGCTCTTACAATCACACAACTTACAGTTTCACAACTACTGCTATCTGCAGTATTACAATTACTTGGCCTGCACATGCTAGACTACAACTGACTGGTTAATAGCTACTCGCTAACTAGCACACTCACCCACTACTAATCATTCACTACTAGTGTTCGGTGCTCCTTATTTAGCATCAGGACAGACGACATAGAAAATAGTTACATGATCGGTACCGCTGTTGTGTGGTGTCGTGTTTACAGACTGCCTAGCAACTGTTGCTGCACGGGTTCCCCTGTTGCGTGACACTGTGTTTACAGAGGCATTGTTGGGCAACGCTGCAGAGTTGTTTATTTCTGCATAGCAACCGCAGCATCCCCCACTACACCACCGCGGGGATGGGGGGGGGGGGTGTTTACCGAGTGTTCCACTGTCACGTCACAATATGTACTCACAAAAAGAAGAAACAATGTTAATTTGCTTGGGTTCAGTATACATTTTATTTTCACTTCTTCAATAATGTGAACTAAGAAAAAGAAGTCAATCCATGCCATCTTCCTATTTTTCTTTTTGATGAGCTGGCAAATTCACAGAGATGTATTACTTTAGAATTCATTTTCAAACCTTAGGCTCTTCTATTGCCATAATCAAGGATTTTTAAAAATCTGAATCTAGCACAAAATGAAACACAGTAATGTCTGACGGGGACAAAACACGTGCCAGTATAATTGTATTCAGAATCAACCAACCTAGGAAAGTGGTGGCTAATGGGGACATCCTGCATGCAAAGGAAAGAAGTCTGCACAGTGCCTCCATAAACTACAGTAAATTTAACAGCACATCGTTACTCTGACGAGAAAATTTATATGACATCACACAGTTAAAATTTAAATTGGGGGTAAGCTCTCAGATTTTGAAAAGCAAACTTTTCCAAGGTAGGAGGGGTGGGTTAATAAGACCTTCACAAAAGCTACTGATTCATAACGCAGGTTACATGACTTCTGAGATTAACTAGCTGCATATCCTCAACATTTACCTGTCTAACTGCATATGTGACAACCTTGTCCAATGTGAAAGCTATGTAGGCATGAATTCCAAACATTTCCCGCAATGTATCCTCATATGCATTGCTGTCCATGTTGCCGTCCAGAACATTCTTCACCATGTCCAAGAATGCTGGATAATAGTCCTCTACTTCAATCTCACCTGCAACAGGCCAACATTCATTGGACCATACTCAAAACTGCACCCCAACCGAGAACATGAACTTTCAGACCCTCAGCTCTCATAATCTATGCAATCAGGGTCAACTCCAAGGCTCTGGTCCTCCCAGGCCAGATATACCAATGGTGAGTGCCCAACCACACCACCTCTGTGGTCTAGTGGTCAGAGTTCCTGGGTTCCATTCCAGGCACTACCACTTCCTCTGACAAGTAGTGGGACTGAAATGGGGTCCACTCAGCCTCTTCAGCATAACTTAGGAGCTACCTGAAGGATATAGTGGCTCCAGTCTAGAAAACCGAAATTAACAGCTGTGGGGATTTGCTGCGCTAACCACGTGACACCCTCTATCCACTAAAGTTGGCACCACTAATTTCTTTTTTATTCGCTTAGTGGGCAGTGGAGTCCAGCTGGGTCTACTCGGCACGGTGGCCACTGATTGGCCTACTGTACCTGCCCCAGGTGATTATGATGATGGAGAATTTGGTGGAATGAAGATTGGCAGGGGAAACCGAAGTACTTGGAGAAAACCTGCCCCCAGCACCACTCTGTCCACCACAAATCCCACTTACCAGACGGGGGATTGAACCCGGTCTGCCACGGTGGGAAGCCAACAACTAACCGCTTGAGCTATGGTGCAAAGTTGGCACTAACTTCGTTGACAAGCGGTGGTTGCTTGGTCGGTATAGTTTGCTTGTGGACTAAAGCCACGGAGTTTGTTTTGTTGTTGAGTGCCCAACCTGAGGCAGCCTCCCTTACACTGTTCTGAGTCCTCATTATTGGGCAACATTTTGTATAGCAAAGCTTGAGTTACATGGAACATATGAACATACTGTCCTCTTGAATCTGAAACTGATATTACACAGTCTTATTACTTTTCTTTGAATATTTATACGTCTGGCAATGTCGGTTACTGACTTCACTTTCAAAGGACAGTGCCCTCTCCAACATGCATCAGCCATATTTTTATAGACATTTTACAGAAATGTAAGCTACCTCAAATCTTGTTGTGAATTTCCCATGTGTGGTCTTTCACAGAATTATAGATGTCATGCCTAATAACTGATTCCATCCCGCACAACACCTCAGAATCTCTACAGGTGTTGCAGTAATCTATCTAAGTTGGCCACCTACTCAGTACACCTACCATAGGAACTTTTATTACAAGAATTTGTCAACAGGTAACAGACCTGGTAATATCAGAGGTCAAGTGATCAACCCCCTTAAAAATAATTCCCTTGAAACCTCTCACTACAACACAAACAATGCAGCTATGACATGTCAATGGGGCCTCAACTAAAGGAAATGGCCTTCTAACTCTATTGTGAAGTAGGCCGCATCACACAATTTTCAATGGAGCAGGAACACATGACTCTATGCAGCTGCCCTTTCAGAGTTACCTTCATTTCATTTAATACCTGTAACAATTTGGGAAATATAGCTTAAAACTCACAGCAACTTTCTGGACACCTGCATATCTAACAAAGCCTTGATTCACTACCATGTCCATATCAACTTACTCTTAGGCTTCAGGCGCAAAGCAACAGCTGTGGACTCCTTGCGCCCCTGCCTCATCTTGGCCTCTTCAGCAGCAAGGGCAACAGCTCGCTCATACATACGAGTAAGACGCTCACAAAGTATCTGGTGCAGACGCAGAAACAGGTACCAATGGTTGTTGCCAAACATCAGGGTGTAACATTCATCCTGGAGCACACAGTAAGTTATATGAGTCTGTTAATGCTACGCATGGCTTTTCAAATGTGAACAAGATTCTCTAGCTGCCTGGAACACACCGACTTCAATATAACGACAAGAGATGTCATACCAAAATAAGTCAATTCCTTATTTCACAAACTACATTCACGTATAAATGAGTTTCTTTCTCACACATTTAAATATCTGACTTGACAAGAGTAACCATAGAACTACCTGCCAAAAATGGCCAGGCAGCTTGCAGATGAATGTCACTGAACCACAGCACTTCCATATTTCACCCTCAAATGACCATAGCTACATAAAGTGTACAAGCCCTTCTTTCCTCTAAACAATAATACATAACTTTATCCCATCTGCTGACAGAAATGCTCCACTAAGATATTAACCAATTAATATCATCAATTCTGGCAGTTTTAATAGAAGTATGGTGAGTGAATTTAATCAGCTCACAGTGTGCAAAACACTTACAACAACTCAGGTCACTATTTTATCTTTCTTTTCAACATCAATATGTCTTTCATGTCTTATTTTGTGCACTCAAAAGAATAAAGGCAGTAAACTGGTTAAAACAGAAATATAAAAAAGTTCTTACATTAAATACCAAGGATATTAAGGAATTAGCCTATTCTTGAATTTATATCCCATATACACAAATCAGATGAATAAGAAAATCACTGTAAGATAAATAGTTAATTTCTCAAAGTTGTATGCAAATTGTATCTGCACTGTTGCATGAGTACAACAGTCAAACCAATACCTTGCACAAGTTTCTTTTGCATGGCATCCACATTGCTCAACCTGCACCAGCAGAAGAATCCGGCACGAACCATGCTCATATTAGAGGCAAAACCTCTGTTTTAGAACTTTCAAGAAACAAACAATTCATATTTATGAACATTGAATGGACTAGTAAATTTCAACTCCCAATTCATTTAATGAACACTCAGCCCCATGATTATGAACATTTTAACAAGTTCAGCCACTTCTGGCCTATTGTACCAGCCCTAGATGATAGGTGAGGGAGATTGTGGAGCAATTGGTGGAATGAAGATTGGCAGGGGAAACCGAAAACTCGGAGAAAACCTGCCCCAGCGCCACTTTGTCCACCACAAATCCCACTTGACCAGACCCACACAGCCAAGCTGGGAAGCCAGCGACTAACCGCTTGAGCTATTCACAAATTTAACAAGACGTCATCCCCCCCCCCAAAAAAACTATGATCATTCAATTTACAAAAAGATTTCAAAGAACCCACTGTCTGTGAGCTGGATTCATTCCTGGACTTCTCACATGCACGAACTCTATAAACTTATAATATAAAAAACAGGCACCTGTGAGAATATACTTTTCCCAAACAGACCATTTTTTTTCTCTCATCAAAATTTATAGAACTACTTTCTTGACAAGCACTTAATTGTACTGCCACATTTACCCAAATGGAAAGGTTACTCCAAATGTAGTATTACCCTACACCAAGAAACATTTCATGAATTGATTTCATAGTTTTTATGAAGGTGTTGAAGACAATAAATATCTAACAATGAGTCAGTTTCCTTTCTGAGGCCATTAGCCTTTTTTCATTTTCATAAATCTCAATTTTCTCACCACTTCTATTGTTTTTTTCCAGCTTCAGTGACTTCACAACTGCCATATTCTTTCCTACATTCAGTGCCAGAATTCCTAATTTCCGCACACTCCCTTCAAACCAGAGCCAACATAAAGGATTTTCTTATTAAATCCTCTATAACTTCTTGATAGATCTGTTGCCACATCTTGATTCAATGGCAAAACAGTTCTATATTGAGCTTACTTCTGCATTTGGCATCTGAACATGGTACTCCTCCATGAGCCAATCAGATCAGATACAGTTGTTTCAAAAGATCCTTAAAAGGCTGAACATGGTACTCCTCCATGAGCCAATCAGATCAGATACAGTTGTTTCAAAAGATCCTTAAAAGGCTTGCTGACTAAAACCTGTAGTTGCAATTCTCCAGGCATGACCGCAAGATCCAATATCCATTGTATAAATCATATAAATCACATAGATCTGACTTCTGGTGTTAGATATCCTTCAAATACATCCAGCAGAGGCATTAGTTGTGTCATCAATACCACTACTTGTCATTACATGCTCTTGTTTTCCAAAACCCACATTTAAGGTAAGAAGGCTTGTCCCTCAGACATATCTTCAATCACGTTTTCACTGCATATACACAATTACCTCTTCAAAATGTGGGAATGGGGCCCCATCTTCCATTCAGGTAAATGTGACAGTATCTCTTTTGACAGTGAATGCCAACACCATACAGAAAGAGACAGATGCAGTATGGGCATGAAAGAGGCATAGTAAGGCAATTTTATCCACATCATTTATGCTAGAGACTCTCTCTGTGGTCTAGTGGTCAGAGTCTCTGCCTACAGTGCCAGAGGTCCTGGGTTCGATTCCCGGCGCTACCAGATTTATTTTTTTAGAAGTAGTGGGTCTGGGAACAGGGTCCACTCTGCCTCATGAGGAGAGCTGAGGACCTATTTCAAAGGAAAAAGTGGCTCTGGTCTAGAAAACAGAAATTAATGGCTGTGGGTATCTGTTGTGCTGACCACATGACACCCTGTATCCTCAAAAGTTTGCACTAACTTCGCTGACAAGCGGCAGTCACTCGGTCGGTATAGCTCACTTGTGGACTACGGGCCACAGAGCATTTATGCTAGGACTGCCAACCATTATGATACTGATGAACTGGGCATGTGTGTGTTATTGCAGACAGAAAATACTACATCCAAAAATACTAAACCTTGAGACTGAAAAATGAACATTAGAATAAACATTTTCTCTCAATAGTACTTGTAAATTTGAGAACTGCACTTGCCCAATATAAAACAAAGGTCCAGCTTGCATCAGAAGACACCATAAACTTTCTGCTGGTGCACTTTCTATAGTACCTCTCTTGTACAGTAATACAGTCACCTAAAGCTTCTTGAGGGACAAGTTTGCAGGTTACTTAATATTATAAGGGACTGGTGTTACATCTGATGTATAGACCCCAAGCTTATCCTTCAGACCACAATCACAAAACTTTGTTTGTAAAACCAATTCAATTTCAAATGAAGTTTCATGGTATGAAGCAAAGAAAATGAAGCATTTGTTCGATGATGCAGCCACATGGGATCTTCTTCCAAGAACTGTTAGTAAAGCATCACCAAACAAAACAGGCTAACTCAGACACGCAGTTCACATTTTCATCAACTATGTTACCTGTTCACAGCTGCTGGATTGTGTGTACAATCATCAAAAAGGCAAAGAGTATTCAAACTGTTTAGTTATTAGAAAGACCCTCTTGGTGAGCTCAGTGTATTACTAAGAAGTGAGGCTTATGCTGAAATTTCATGTCTGTACTGGTCCTGGCATTTTCCCATTGATATATATACACACCAGGAAGATCAATTACATGAAGGCCCTCAACCCAACGGTGAACATATATCTATATTCTTCACAAGGGAGACAATCAGCAGTGATTGTGAGAGATGCCCTATATCAACTTTCCTCTACTGATTTTCTCAGAATGACATATATCACAACTGACCGGATGTGTGGCAACCGCATGGAGAGGAGGCTTGATGTCCCCATCCCCATGCTTGTTCTCTCCTTCTCCACCAGATCCTCCCCCAGTGTCAGGATCCTTCTTGATTGGCATGTCACTTTTCCGGCCTTTTCCATTACCTCCTATCACACCAGCAGAACAGTTTCCATTACCAGGGGCACCAATCGATGTTGTACCAGATGCCGAACCACTTGGATTACCATTGCTAGTAGGGCACCCATCCATGTCAACTTCTTCCTTCTCATCTGTGATGAGAATAGACATGCACCGTATTATTTACTTTTCCTAATCCCATATTATTCAACTGCGAAAAGTCTCAGAACAACTTCTGAACAGCTCATAACACAGTTTCCCTACACATATTTGTACCACATGTACAGTTTTAACTCTTATATCTGGCAACTGGGGCCCATGGTAGCATAGTTCATTGAGGCTCTGAGCTACAAGAAAAAAGTTCTCGGGTTTGATTCCTGACAAGGTCATGAGATTTTTCAATTGATCTAATTCTTCCAGCCACAATATGGGCCTGGAGTCAACTAAGCCTCTACTCTACTCAGTAACGTTCCTGGGAAGTAAAGGGCAGCCAGCATGTAGAATTGACAACATGACTGCCATCTCTGAGCTGACTGTCTAGAAAATGTGCGATCCTCGACGTCTTACAGCCCTGTGGCCTCTGCAGACTGTTACAGGAATAGCTCTGCCTTTTTACCTTTTAAAGCTACTGACAGATGATGAGGAATACATAACTTCTGGAAGAGCAGACGAGGGAATATTCAAATGTGAATACAAACAATTACTCTNTGCACACACACCACTACATGCAATGGCGTGTGATTAAGCCTAACATTACTGCACTTAACAGGCCATCTAAATAAAAAATATTACCATCAAAGTCCATGGCGCCTACAAGAGGCCTTTCCATAAACAAATGTGCATCTATTGTCCATGATAATTTCATTGTAGTCTCATCACATAAACGTGATATGTGAAAACACGATACAGTAGAATACCTATTTAATGTTCCTCAGTACATGGGGTTTCCTCATTTAACAATAAATTTCAATGATCACAAAGTCAATAATCAATGTTAATTTCTTATATTTAAGATCTTCAGTAAGGGTTCAAATCCAAAGCTTCCCCAGTAAACCTTAAGTAGGGGTGGGGCCCTAAAGCACAGGACAGAAACTTTTGTTTAATGCAGCAAGTGCCAAAAGTCACAGGATAGCAGCGTGTAATTTTATTGTCATTGTTGCCACCATCCCCTGCTGGCCTGTAAATGCCCTGACAAGGCAAGCTTGTCTGAATTACTGGAGTCTGGACAGGATACGATACTGGGTGCGAGAAGAATGGGACATTCCATTTCCAAAGTTGTGCAGCCATTCAGAATTCCTCAGTCCATGTTGTCATATATGTACCAGGAATACCTCATGAAAGGCATTACCACCAAATGTGGACAGCGCAGTGTCCAACCACACCTGCTTACTATCGTGACCAGTGGTGTCTACATAGAATTGTCCGTGGCAAGAGACAAGTAACACTGGCTGAAATCACATCGAACTTCAATAAAGTAGGTACCAGACACATATTCAGAAGGTCAATGTATTGTTCTTTAGCTTCCATGGGATATGGGAGCAGAAGACCCACAAGAGTGCCTCTGTTAACATGAAACCATACAGAGTGCCTCACCTGGGCTTGAGGTTTTGTTAATTGGGCCCTGGAGGACTGGCAACATGTGGTCTAGTCCAATAAGCTATGGTACCAGTTGCTTCAGGTGGATGATAGGGTTCGTGGTGCAAACCCCAGCTGTCAACAAGGCAATGTGCAGGCTGCTGGTGGCTACATACTTGTGTGGGGAGTGTTCATGTGGCAAGGGCTGGGTTCGCTGATCCACCTAAACACGTCACTAACTGGTGCTAGCTAGGTTGCACTGCTTGATGACCATTTACAGCCCTTCATGTACCCCCACAAAGATGGGATATTCCAGCAGGACACTGCACCATGTCACTGGACCAAAGCTGTGCAGAACTGGTTTGAGGTGCATTCTGGAGAGTTCTGGTAAATGGTATGGCCACCACGTTCACCCAACATGAACCCAATTGAGCATTTATGGGATGTGGTGAAGTCCATTTGCACCCAAGATCCTGCACCTAGAAATACCAAGGAGCTGTAGGCAGCTGTCCAGACGGCATGGCCCAACAACTCTTCTGAGGTCTTCCATCCACTTGGGGAATTGATGCCACATTGAGCTGCTACATTTCGCTGGGGTAGTGGGGGTCCTGCATGATACTTGGTACCTATCCCATGACGTTGGCAATTGAATGTGATGGTGATTCTTCAAGTGCTAATATAAAAATGAGGGGGGGAGATCAATCCTTGAGGTCAGGAACCATCTACCTAGCATATGTCTCATCCATTACAATGCCTTATGGGGTGACTGAAAGCAACTGTGCAATTTTCATTTAGTACTGTGTCAAATACGACCACCACCTATGGTCTAATGGCCAGAGTTCCTGCTTACAGATCCAGAGGTCCTGGGTTAGATTCCCTGTGCTACCAGGTTTTCTGAGAAGTAGTGGGTCTGGAACAGGGTTTACTCAGCCTCGTGAGGATAACTGAGGAGCTACTTGAATGGAAAAGTAGCAGCTCCGGTCTAGAAAACTGAAATCAATGGCCGTGGGGATTCATTGCGCTGAACATGCGACAACCTCTATCCACTAAAGTTGGCACTAACTTCGCTGACAAGGGGCGGTATAGTTCACTTGTGGACTAAAGCCATGGAGTTTGTACTGTGTCAGATACGAACCTTCCTCTTCACGCTCATCTTCACTTAACTCCTGACGTGGATGGAAGAACAGATCTGGAACAAATTGGCGAAGCAGTTGCTTGATACGTTGCTTGTCTTCTTTATGGATTCCAGTCTGACGTTTTACGTGATGGATAAGCAGATTTGCCGCATCATCTAGTACAGTCTTATCCTTGTAAGGAAGTAGCAAATGAGGCCCCGATGCTACCTCCCCAGACCCCTCTTCTGCCTGTTCATGTCTCTGTAATACAATTATGACCTCTGTGGTTAAACCAAAAATTCCACTGATGTGCATAGAATTCAAGCCCACGTAGGAAAGGCAGTTACTCCATGAACTGAGAATGTCAGCAATGGCCCCAACTTTGAACACACTACTCATACTTAATTGTTTAAAAATATTCCATGTGCATTTAGCAAGGATAAAGATGAAAGTCATGACTTCCTCTTCCTTAGTAATGACAGACTGACAATTTATTACATATATCTCCATTCATTCTAGAATTATATTATTTTTAACTTTCAACACAAATTTAAGTGTGTTGAGAACCCGCACATTAGAAACTTCAAATGATTTCAGTAGGTCATAGCATTTTATGAAGTCATAAACTGAAAATTGGACTGCACATGTATGCAGTTCCACACAGGCTTATGTTAACTGCTTAAAGAATGAAAAGAACTACAAAACCATTTCTTTATTATCTACTTGCCGATAATACTGAGACCCATAAACAAGAAAAATCTAAAATGTCATAACTCACTTCATCATACAGTGTTTCTATTTCGTTGAAGAGAGACTTGGAACGGAGAGCCTTCACATCATTCTGTTTGAAGTTGATGCCCTGGTGGTCCAAGGACTTGAGGTAGTACTTCTCATTTTGCTCCCGCCAGATTTTGTTGAAGCCCTGTAGTACACAGAAGTGTTCCACATTAGCCATTACAGTTATAGGGACAATAACAGGAGCTGGGATAGTGAAGTCGGTATAGTGACTGCCTACAGGCTCGATGACCAAGGAGCCGGAGTTTCAGTCCCGGTAGAGGCAAAAATGTTGTCTTCTTTCAAGTCATCCACACTGGTTCTGGGGCCCACCCAGCCTCCTATCCAATGGGTACCAGGGTCTATTTCTCTGGGGTTGTAAAGAGGCTGGGGCATGAAGCTGACTACTCACCTCCAACTACTTCCTAGGTCAAGAAAATCCACTCCACTATACATCATCACAGCATAGTGCTTAATTGGTTAACCAAAGGGATGCCTTTTCAAGGACATTAATGCCAACACTCTTACCTTCTGTGCCTCTCTCCACTCCTCCTCCTTGGCTTTGAGCCGCCTCAACACAACAGGAACAGCCACAACAGGATTCTTCTTCAGTCCATCAATGATATCCTGTGCTTTATCACCATATATCCTGCACAAAAACCCATAGATCATCAGATAGCAGGTATAGTATATGTTGTACATGAAATATGCCTCAGCAGTTATGTAAAGGATATTTGAATTGTGGGCATATGGAAAGGTAGCAATCATAATACAATATACAATGTAGATCATTTTTCAGTATAATTGATGGGTTATGTGAAGTATTCTTTCATACAAACATTGTTACACTTGAGAAGAAGGCATGTATTCTTTCATACAAACATTGTTACACTTGAGAAGAAGGCATGTAGCCACATATGATTAGCACACAATGGAAAGAGAGGAGACATAGACATAGAGAAGACCTTGCCATTACTGACATGCAGCAGTTTTTCCCTGCTGGCACATCATCGTAAGAAGTTGCAAAAACACTGGATTTTCAGCCACCTTTTCAATCTCACAACTGGATGTTACTTAGTAACTCGAGATGTAGGTAACAAATTCCTACGATTTACACTAACCTTGTCTAGGAGTACTACACTACTATCACAGACAGTGCTGGGTTGGTAAAGTGTCGAAATTATATTTCACAACATGCTAGTTTATCTATAACAAGAGGTTCTGGGAAGAACTAATCATCTATTTTCCTCTCAATACAAATTGTGTATTTGATACAAGTAGGGCAGAGCTACATTTTGTATGCATAAACTTACTAGATGGAGGGATTTAAGAAGTATGCCACTAAGATGCAGGTGGCATAATATTCATACCGTGTTTCATGATGATCAGTTAGGGTATTCAAGTAATATTAAGGTTATTAACTCAACAATATGAAAGGCTGCACTGTTGGTAATTCATGTGGGGCGGGATTTGTGAAGCATGCCATTGAGATGGTCTCAGGTGGCATGATAAGCATACCAGGTTTCATGATGTTCAGTTCCGGAATTTAGGTAATATTAACATTATTACCTCAACAATTTGAGGAGCTGCAGTTTTGGTATTACTGAAGGGATTTGTGAAGTATGCCACTGAGATGGTCTCAGGTGGCTAGATACACATACAAAGTTTCATGATCATTCGCACAAACATTCAAGTAGGATTTCAATTAAATCTGAGAGACTGCAGTGTTGGTATTACTAACGGAAGGGATTTGTGAGGCATGCCACCGAGATGGGTAACATAATACAGACAAGTTTCATTAAGATCAGAACAAGCCTTCAAACGCATATGGTTCAGGACACACAGACACATAGGTAGCAATGTGATCTCAAAAGCCTACTTCTATTTTATAAAAATGAGGAAAGTAGACCAATAAGAGAGCAGAACTTCATGATTCTGTCAACTAATCAATTCCATTAAGAGACAGAGCTGTTTGTTAATTTGATTAATTAATCACAATCCATGTACTAATGAAATACCATACTCAACTTTATGCATGCAGAACAAAGGGGGGGGGGATCCAATTCTTTTCAGATTAATCCTACCACACCTCATAGGAAAGGGGCATGTGGTAGCATAGTTGATTGAGGTACTATGCTACAAGCTGGAAGGTTGCAGGTTTGAGTCCTGATGAGGTGGACTTTTTTTTAATTTACCTAATCCTTCCAGCCACACTATGGGCCTGGGGTTGACTCAGCCTCAAACAGAATTGAGTACCAGGAACCTTCCTGGGGGGTAAAGGGCAGCCGGTGCATAAGGCTAACAACCTTACCACCATCTGTGAGCCAACTGTCTAGAAGATGTGGGAACCTCTACATTTCACAACCCTATGGGCCTCCATGGCCTGTTACAGGCATAGCTTTACCTTTTTTTTTATCTTTTTACATCTCTTGGGAACTTAAATTACTCATTCACAGCTTATAAATTTGTTCAACTTTATAAAAACATGAATCTGCCTTTGTACAGTCAATGAGTTTTGCATTCATCCACAATTTCTCAATGACCAAAATGACTTTTCTTGAGCTCTGATTCCTCCCCAACTTTGATATAGTTGGATAACAGAGATTATGAAGTGATGTGCACTTAAAACAGAAGATTTCAGACAATAGATCTTCCTGCTTGTGGCAAATGGCATCAAGTGTTTTGATGATGTTCCTCTTCATCTCTATGAGATGTACATATCTGTGTGTCTGTGTTTCTGCTATCTTTGCTTTGAATGGTTTCCTGCTACTGCACCAGCTACAGACACCTTGTCCACATGGTAGAGCAAAGCTGACAGATGCTGTCATGTCATGCAGGTCAGGATTTGAACATTACTGAGAATATGTAGTTATCACATCTTGTTGGAAGAAAACAAGATGGCATAGATTTTAATGTAGACAACATAAAATGAAATAGTAATAATGCAGTAAGAAAAACAGCACAGACATACAAAACATTGGCAGATGCATGCAGTCATGATCACCAAAATTTGATCACATTAAGCAAAATTTACCTGGCAGCAGAATCACTTATGCATTCTTCATACAGGAGTATTTATCATTAGCATTCCTCTTCCTACATACACAATTTTATAATATACACACAACATGACCTGGTTATGTATGAAAAATGGAGTCATACAATACATAGTTAAATGGTACTTACTTACTCATGGGGCTGAGCCCTTCTGGAGCCGCAAATTCTGCAGCTACTCAAGAATTTCCCACCATTTTATGGAACCCGAAGGTTCATTACCATGTTCACAAGAGCCCTCCACTGGTCCCTATTCTGAGTCAGATCAATCCAATCCATCCCATCCCATCCTATCTCTCTAAGATCCATTTTAATATTGTCTACCCACCTATGCCTTGGTCTTCCCAGTGGTCTCTTTCCTTTTGGCTTTCCCACCAAAATCCTATACGCATTCGTCTCACCCATTCGTGGTACATGCCCTGCCCACCTCATCCTCCTTGACTTGATCATTCTAATTATACTTGGAGTAAAAGTTACGAAGCTCCTCATTATGCAGTTTTCTCCAAATTCCTGTCACTTCATCTCTCATCAGTCCAAATATTCTCAACACCCTGTTCTCAAACACCCTCAGTCTATGTTCCTTCCTTAGTGTCAGAGACCAAGTTTCACACCCACCAGCAAAATTATAGCTTTGTATATTCAAATTTGTATGTTTTTGGACAGCAGACGAGAAGACAAAAGGTTCTGGAATGAATGGTAACAAGCACTGCCCGAGTTCAAGCTCCTCTTAATTTCCTCCTGAATCAGGTTCCGATGTCTTATCGTTGTTCCCAAATATCTGAACTGTGCTACATTTTCAAAACATCTGTTTCCTACCTTTGTCATGATTTTGCCCTGCATTTTGGTGACGAGACAGCAACAGTTTTCTCTGTCTTTACATCTAGACCAACCTCTTTACTTATGTCAATTAAAGTTTGTGTGTTTTTCTTTATGGTATCTACAATATCACCCAGTAGATTCAAATCATCGGCATAGGCCAACAGCTGATGTGTCCCGTTTAATTTCAGTCCCACCTGGTTTCCCTGGACCTTCCTAATGGCATATTCTAAAGCAAAGTTGAAAAGAAGTGGTGATAAAGCATCTTCTTGTTTTAAACCATCCTGAATAGGAAATTTATCAGACAAATTTTTACCTACACGGACTTTACTATACGTTTCGTTTAAACACATTTTAATCAACCTAACTAGTTCCATGGGTATCCCAAACTCTATCAGAATATTGTACAATACTTCCTTCCTAACCAAAATATAGCCTTTCTTGAAGTCTATGAATAGCTGATGTACTGTCTCATCGTACTCCCATTTTTTTCCTCCAATATCTGATGAATGCAAAATATCTGATCTGTAGCTGATGATCCCCAATAATTTCATCTATATATGGACTTAACCTTGAGAGAAGAATATTGAACAAAATTTTGTATGAAGCTGATAGCAGTGACATCCCCGATAATTACTACAGTCAGTTTTATCACCCTTCTTGTGAACTGGTACAATAATAAACTTCTTCTACTGATCAGGCAATTTTTTCTTATGCCAAATAGAAGTAATTAGATTGTGGATCTTAGAATTTAATATTTCGCCTTCTGCTTGAATAAGTTCTGCTGAAATTTGATCACTACCTGGCGATTTATACCGTTTCAATTTTGCAATAGTAATTTCAACCTCAAAAGGGTATTAACCTTTAACGGGCGAATGTCACATATATGACGCAAGCAGCAACCCGAGTTGGCCGAATGACACATATATGTGACACAGGACACATGCTCTCTCTGGGAGTGCTGACAGTTTGACCTTGGGTTTGAAACCAAAACAAACCTATGTGAAGTCATGTCAGTGGTTCATTCCTTAGCTCTGAACAAAGAAACTGTTTATCACGGTATTGGTTTGGATACTATTTACATTTAGATATGACTGTTTATGACCTGGCCAGCCCAGCTTTGTTTCGAGAACTGATGAGGAAACATTCATCAGTGCTTGCATGTGAGTGCTTCCAGAGCCTTCAAGGAAGTGTGACGCATGCAAGGATTGCTTTTCAGTGGCAAATTATCAGTCAGGAAGTCAGTGTCAGACTGTCTAATATTTCTTTATCAGTTAAAAAGTCAGTGTCAGACATTCATATATTTCTTTGTATATCATTTTTATTTTGTGTCTGGGAAGAGGTATAAACCTACTGAGCCAGTATTACTTTGTGAGTAAAGGCATCTTCACCACTGGGACTTTAGGTATCAGTGTCGGATGGCACTCTTTTCGACTAGTATTATAATTACTTTGCATCACTATTTTGCGAGTATTACCAACAGGTGAGAGTGTCACTTTGTCAGGCAAACATAATTTATTCGATTTTGCTAGAAACTCCCATTCCCCAAGATGATTCTTCAATCTCATAAGTCGAATATCACAGTTAGTGGCAGTTCTCAGGGGAAGGCCAAAGTTATCAGGGGGCCTAACTGAGTTGACTGGAGGTGAAACATTCACAACACTGGTCAACCAAGGGGAAATAAAGACATTGTTGTGTGTTTCGCTAAATAAGAAAAGCAGGAGCACGCTCTTCTATTGTAAAAAGGGTGGTGTCACTCTGTGTGAGGTGGACTGCTTCAAGTAGTGCCACGCACGTCAGAGCGTATCGTAAACTGTGAAGTGATGCAGTTCAAACTCATGTACAGTCTGAACAAAATATTACTGTATATAGTGTGACTATATTTACAACATCACCATGATTCAAGGGTGAAGAAAAAACAACAGGTAAGTCCTTTGGAATTTCATAACATATATATAAAAGATTATATTTTGCATTTCATGACAAAATAATCTCAGTTAATTTTCGTTTGTAAAAATTGCTCTTTTGAGTATATGTAGAAAATTTTATTGTCTTTCAGACTGTTTTTAGTTTGTATTTCTACGTTGCATAGAATGGAAAATATGTATTTTTTTCTGAAAGTTTAAAATGTTAATTAATTAGTCCATACGTTAAAGGTTAACAGCTCAGCTCTATGATTTCTGTCTGCCTAACATCACTGACCCTATGTGCATTTAATAACTGAAAGTAGTAGTTCCTCCACCTGTTCCAAATGTTGTGGGAATCTGCAAGCAGATCACCATTCTCATCCTTCACTAAGTTACTGCTAGGGTGGTAACCCCTCTTAAAGTCATTTATTCCTCTATACAGGTCTCTAATGTTCTTGACCTTACTGTTCACTGCAAGCTCATCAATTTTGTCTTTCATATATTCCCTCTTTTTGTTCCCGAAATGCCTGCTGGTTTCACGTCTTATATTGTTCAGATTATCCCTATTTAACTTGCCTGGATCCTGTAACCACTGCAATTTGGCCGGCTTTCTTTGTCTAATAATTTTGAGCATCCTTCATCGAACTATGGCGTATGTTTCTTTGGTTCATAATAACCTAGACCCTATTTGGTAGACATTTTTACATTCTAATAGATTTCCAAGCTTTATTACCATCCACCTCAGTTTCCAAGTATCTCCAAAGCCGCAAACCTATTTGAGATTTCAACACAATACTGCTCTTTACCCTATACCTCATTTAATTTCTTAAGACTGAACCTCTCCATACGATCTCTGTGTGTTGACTGTTTGCTCACTGCCAGTCTTTCCCTAAGTCTTGCCACCACCAGGTAGTGGTCAGTATCACAATCTGCTGCCCTGAATGATGGGACATCAAGTATACTTGAGTGCCTTCTCCTATCTATCAAAATAACATAGTGAAACGGTAACTTAACAAAATGATTACAGAAGAGCCAATGAACAAATGAGACACACAGTGTGAGGTAACATATTAAGGTCAACTAACAACCAGCAGCTGCATGTGGATGCATGTGTGCACATGCCATTTCTTTCAGAAGTGTCCTACCTCCGTAATGCCCGTTGGTGGATGGTTGGGGAGCAGCCACCCAAACAGTCATCCAGATGGAACTTTGCCACTTCTTCAGGAGAGAGTCTTGAAAGTTTCTTATGCACTCCCTCCAGGACCCGAATTGTGGCTGCGTTAGTCTCTATAACCACATCCAACTGTAATAATGAAGATACCGTCAGTGACATGACATCAACTATTTCAAACAAATGACTTTCAAAGATGTGAGTTCAATTTGAAATTTCTTGTGAACTCTGGGCATCGGCCTGGAGTATACAAAAGTATCATGTGTAGATATCTGTGAAAATATTAATTTCTTCATTTACTCAACCAGAAATCTGTGGTCTGTATTGGACCACCACTTTATAGTAAACTCTGAACATGGTTAGAGGTATGTAACATGTCCATCTTATATTCACACATATAAATGATGTTTAAGACATTGAATTCTTTATAAAATCTGAACTATAAAATGATACTTTCAGACCATATTAGCCAATCAGCTGTCCCCTCATTCAAAGGTTAAGTTAAATTCAAATATTTAATTTAAATTTTTTGAATTTGACACAATAAAATGTCCACTAAACAATGTCAAGAAAAAAATATACAACTAAAAAAATAATTCCCATTCTCCATCCCACACCCAGAGAGATATACAGTAATTAAGACCTTTAAACAAATAAAAACTGAAATTAAGATAAGTCAAATGCACAATTCAACAAAATCATATTTCAATATACTTCAAAAGACTGAAACTTCAATTATACAATCATCAAAAGCAAATTCTATGTCCTGTATGAACCTATACAACCTATGTGGCAACATAAAGGATGAAGTTAAATGCTAGGCATGTGACTCTCAAATCCTCAAGATTAACAAGACAGAAATATACAAATATACACAGAGTTTTTCAGTCTTCACATAAGTGCTTTTGCTTTTCATAGTAACAGACAAATTACCCAATCAGGATCAGAATGGCTGGCTATGCTAACATGAATCAATCTGTTCATAAAACCTGTCTCTTGCTCCCTTTTTCTGCTTTTAAATACAATGATATAAGGACGTGCTTCACTAAGAAAGGATCTGATATAGAGTGGTAAAACAGCGCACTTTAGAGCAATGTGAACACGTGGTCAATGTTATAAATTGTGATCACAGGAAAAAAATTCATCTAGCAGACAAAATTGAAAGTTATGTCTCAATTCTTAAAATTTTTGTCTCAAACTGAAGAAGTCATTCAGGGGAAATACCACAGGAGGAGGAGAAGACATTCAAGACAACCAAATTTCAGCTGTTATATATACTGCAGCAAGCAGACTTGTCACTAGGTAATGGCTCATACACATGCAGCGAAGGAAGATATCACGCAACAATAGGAGGGGTGTGGCAACAAGTGTTTTGTATGCGGTCTACTCCGAGGCTGTATCATGTGATCAACCAGGTTCAGTCAGTCTCAGAGGAGTTGGTTGGTGAGTTGGTGAGTGCAATGAATTGCAGTGCAGCACAGCAGAGTGAAGCTGAGTACAGTGAAGTGCAGTGAGTTGGCTGGTGAGCAATTAGAACACTGCTGCAGTTTAACTGTTGTGAGCTGCTGCTGTCAGAAGCTGGCAGATAAGGCACAGGTGTCTGCCATTGGAAGCCGTCACCAGGCAATGACTGGTGAAGACAAAGCAGACTGAAGACACAGTGTGTGCTGTAATGAATTGTAGTGCATGAATCAGCTAAAGCGCTATAGTTACTTGTAGCTACAATCAGAAAGAGGTCCATAGATCCAGTTACAAATCCAAACCCTGCCTATACTCACTCATACACATGAAAATATTAAAAAGGGGGATGAATTTGGTTTATTATGCTGAAGATGCGCTCAGTTTCAAGATAACTGATCCAACAACTGCCATTCTCGTTACTGTTCAAGACAGAAGGACACCAAAAGACATATAAACAATTCTCAGAAAAATAAAATTGTATATGATACATGCAAGAATAAAGAACTGATATGCAACCAAGAAATAACATGAGATGCACACATTCCCAGAAGACAAAACTGCCCAACTGAAAGTGAAGTGTCTGAAGGCAAAAGTGATTTACAAGAGACCATACACACCTCAAACCTCTCATCCTCACAGCGGTAGATGTATTCCTCATATTGAGTCTTGCGTGATGTTACAAATGTGGAGTCTTCTGACCAGGTAGGGAATGAGACCCATGTGTCATTGAGAACCTCTTTGCAGAGGGCGGTGCGGCCTGAGCACTTTGGTTGGACGTAACTCTTCGGTAATGCACAGTAACTTGCACCTAACCTCTTACATGTTGTGTAGTCTGCAATCATATGAAATTATTTCATACAACTAAATAGAACAATCCAATAACAAAATAGTAAAACTTATAATGGTCCTTATTAACTCTAATTCCAACCCATACAGAACTAGCAGGCTTATACTATAGCACAAACGCCTGTTTAGAACTTACCGTCCACAGCTGAGAAAACCTCTAGATGCAAAGTCTGCTAATGCACCAAATATTCCTCAGCTGTGACCTCCCTTTGTGCTCTGAGAAACAGTAGCAACTGCTGCATGTTGACAATATGGTCTTGCAGGAACTCCCCAGAAATCCTTCAGGATAATTTTAGTAGTGCAAGATATTTAAACATACAAGGATAACAGAAGTTTTTCAGTTTTATTAACTTGTCCCAAAGATTGTTGCTAATCTTACTGTATGGATATGTTTTCCTTATGCACCATTGGGAACAGCCATGAATTACAATTCATACACTGACAAATATTCATAAAACAGAAGCGAAGCACTATCTTATAATTATCATGGTATATTTATAGTTGTTACTTAAAATTTAGTGAACACTATTACTATAATCAAATGTCTGTAACACCATTCACTACTATTGACACAGCAATTATACCACCTACCATATTCAGCATCACAGAACACAATTCTCTTTAATTTAAAGAAACAAGTGTTCATCATAAAACACCCTTCTGAATTCAACTGCAGTCACATTACAGGAAAAAGTAACCACTCAGCAATATCTTTATTTTTTTATTAAGTTCGACAAGGATGCTGTTTATCACCAATTATGTTCGACTTGTACAGTGAATGCCTTACCAAAGAAGCTCTGGATGGGCTTGGAGACTTCAAATTAGGAGGGCAAATTATTCAAACTGTGAAATATGCAGATGACCTTGTGTTAATGGCTAAGGAAGAAACTGTGCTACAGGGTATGATTGATAAGACTAATCGAAATTGGAAGGTGCTATGGCATGGAAATGAATGTGGAAAAAACAAAAGTAATGAAAATTTCGAGACAACCAACCCCAGTCACAATAAAGATAGACAAAAAACAACTGGAGAATGTGAAATGTTTTAAATATTTGGGTAGGTTGTTAACAGATGATGGAAGGTGTACATGTGAAATTAAATCTAGGATTACCATGGCAAAAGCTGCATTTAGCAAGAAGAATCTTTTTACCAGCAAATTGAACTTAGATTTGAGAAAGAAACTAGTGAAATGCTACATTTGGAGAATTGCTTTGTATGGGGCTGAAACTTGGACACTTAGGGCAGCAGATCAGAAACACCTGGAAAGCTTCGAAATGTGGTGCTGGAGAAGGNACTTTTGGAAGAGACTGTGGACCTTTCGTCTTGACAGATTACTGATGGACGAATGAATGAATGAATGAATGAATGAATGAAGTACACACATTGCCACCTGTCATGTCTTGAGCAATACTCACCAATTTCCATGGCAAGATCACCCACAGGTCTGTCCTGTCTGGCCACATTGTTGGAAATAGCTTCCACTCCAACTGCTCCAGGACCTTGAGGGCCACCCACAGCTGACGCAGCTCCTCCACTGCCCTCATTGTGTCCCAGGAAATCCTTGAACCAGCGGAAGAGTTCAGGAAATTTTCCGAGGAATGGTGTGACGAGCTGCACGAGCTCTGACTTGGAGACGATCTCCTGATTGAAGAGCACTAGACACCGCAAAAAGTTCTCATACACATCTTGATTCTTTAGTGCCTTTCGTGCCTAAAACAGAATTAAGACAGTGTTTCATTTAGAGAAGGCGATTAGAATGACAAAAAGGCAGTCTTAAAGTAAGACACATTAACAAAGAATAAAATTTTACTGTAACATACTTCTCATCAACTATAGTCAATTTTCCATACTAAAAACCAGGGCCTGTATTTTGATGACATGTCATCTTTTTTTTCCTTGTATCCTATGTGATGCTCTTAAATATATAAATCTCGGATATGAGCTGCTGGTTAGAGAAATGTAAATTTTATAGGTAATTTTTTGCCATTTTTTTTGAAATTTTTAGGTTTAAGGTCATTTTTTCAATTTGGGGGTAATTATTTTGGTAAATTTTTGGACTTTTAAGGGCATTTCTCGTCATTTTTGGCCATTTTGGGGAATTTTTCTTCATATGTTTTCTGAAATGTGAATAACATGGAAGCGAAGTGTTCTTTCTTTTCTCCTTTAGGTCATTTTTCTGGATTTTTCGGTAATTTTTTAAATATTTTCAGGTCATCAAAATCTGGGCCCTGCTAATAACTAACTTTTGTGTATTTAGCACATTTCTTAGACTTACGTTCAAGATCTTTATGATACTGGCAGGAATATGAAGACAATTTTGAACAAAACTCTTGCATGACAAAAAAATCTAATATGTCCTGTGTATTTTGAACATTTATGGTATCCTATTTCATAAATCCACCACGTGTTTAGGCAGGTCCAAATACTTCCACCACAGCTCTGAGTGTCACAGAAGGCAACAAAAGGGTACCCCATGCTGGGGGTTACCTGGGCACCCTGTAACTGAGGGGCATAAATACAGAGACCTGGTCCTTCAGATTGGGGGCTCCACACAAGCCTGACAATCTAGTTCTGTAAAAACATTATTGTTGCAAAATTCAAAGAAGTGAAAACCAGATAAATCAGGCAGACTCTTCTACAGAAGGCTATGGCTCAAAAAGGGGCTTGTTTGCCAACAATGACGATTCTGGGAATTCCACTAAGATCATGAGACAAATGAAAAGAGAGAAGAGAAATGAGGAATGGGGATCACAGTTTGTTTTGATCCTGTAAGACAGCCAACTTCGGTGGCTGTCAGAAATTTCTTCTCCTTCTACAGCTTATGAACGCGCGGTCGCTTAGTTGTCTCCGAACTTCCTGAGAGTGACGAAAGGCTTTTCCGTGAAATTCTTTTTTGTCTCCTGTGCAAGCCACAATGCAGCGCTCCTTGGAACAAAGGACTGCCATCAAGTTTTGTGTGAAACTTGGCAAGTCTGCAGTGGAAACTTTTCCCATGATAAAGACAGCCTTCGGTGATAATTGTTTGTTGGAACATCAGGTCTACCAGTGGCACAAGGCCTTTTTAGAAGGCCGTGAAGAGGTCGGTGATGAAGCCCGCGCTGGACAGCCATCAATAAGCACCACCGATGAAAATGTGACACGTGTGAGAGAACTTTTGAACTCAGACCGTCGTTTCAGTGTTCGTTTAATGGCACAGACATTAAACATTCCAAAAAGTACCGTTCACGAGATTATGACGAACAATTTGCAGACGCGAAAAGTGTGCGCAAAGCTGGTGCCCAAAGTGTTAACGGACAACCAAAAATCGAGCAGAGTTGAAACGTGCCAAGAACTTTTGGGCTTGTGTGAAAGTGACCCTCACTTTTTAGACAATGTCATCACAGGTGACGAGACTTGGGTGTTTGAGTACGACCCCGAAACAAAAAGGCAAAGTGCCGAGTGGCACACCTCGGCATCCCCTCGCCCCAAGAAGGCCAGAATGAGCAAGTCAAAGGTTAAGGTCATGCTCATTGTGTTCTCTGACATCAGGGGGCTCGTCCACCATGAGTTTGTGCCACATGGTACAACCATCAATGCCAAATTCTACGTGGAAATGTTAAAGAGACGCAAACGAAGGGATTATCGCATCCGGCCCGACATTGTGGATGATTGGAAACTTCACCATGACAATGCGCCAGCCCACACCGCCTTCCTTATGACCTGCTTCCTGACCGAGTCAAAAGGTGCCAACGGTTCCCCAGCACCCTACAGTCCTTACGTGGCTCCCCCAGACTTCTTTTTGTTTCTGCGCTTGAAAACTCCCATGAAAGGACATCATTTTGGGACAGTTGACGAAGTCAAAGAGGCTTGCACCAAGGCTCTCAAGGACATTCTGGAGGAGGCCTACCATGACACCTTCGATGCCTGGAAATCTCACTGGAAGCGATGTATCGACACAGAAGGAGCCTATTTTGAAGCATTTTAATGTGTTGAACTGATCTAACCAACAAATGTTTTTTAATCAACTTACTGACATTACTTTTCGGACAAACCCCTGTACATCTGCAATGGCTGATACTAGCAGAACTGAATGGAAGTCATTCCTCAGAAGAACACTCAAAACAGACTAAATCACTTCCCCCAGACGAACACCTGAACAGAATGACAAATTCCTTCCAAAATTTTCTGCAATAATATAATTATAACAACACAAGACATTTCCTAAATTCACTAGCAGAAAAATAAACTCATTTAATCCTACCTTATCAAAAAAGGCATAATCATTAAGGCTGCCATATTTCCCAGCCTCTGTAAGAGAGACATCCCTCAGTGATGCCATCTTGTGTTTTTTGGTGGGGGGACCATGTGCTGCAGGGGCTGAAGTGGAAAAGGAGGGAGAGCGCTTCACCTGGCCACTGCTGCTGTGACCTGAGTGACCAAACTTCCCCAGCCCACTGCGGTCTGACAGTCCACTTGACAGAGCCCCTCCCCCACCTTCATGTCGACTACCAGCTCCACTGGTACACGAGTTATTGTAGCCAGGTTTCAGACCACTTGAAGGCTTCTTTGCAATGGATGAGTGATCACTGCTAGCACCCTTGTTGCTCTGCAAACAGTAAAGGGTTCACAATGTAGAAAACAATTTTTTTAGCTTGGTTAAAGAAACAGTTAAACCCACATATAACACGAAGCTTTCTTTAAAATAATCCGACATTTTAGAAAGCTCGCCTATCAAAACACGTTTTAGAGTATGAAAATGTATACAAGCATTGCCATTGATAATTCTGTTGAGTTTCTAAAAATGATTAACTGTATTCCACAATGTGCATGACTACAGTACATCAATATAGTGAGAATGTATAAAACTGATACAATATGGCTGCCACTTAGATCACTGTTGGTTACTAAATACTAAACAATGAAATATGTCCAACCAGTAGAGCCTGTTGTAACAGAACTGACACTTTGTATTTGGATCTATAGTGTACACTGTTATTTTCTCAAAGATACCACCTACGCAGTTTTATTTACAGATGACATCCATAAATTACTGGAATGCAATCAAGATTGTCTGAACTATTCACGGGAAAATGCCTTTTTTTGGGGGGATGGGGGGGGGGGTTCCATACAAAGGGCCCCTCTTTTTGGAGCTACAATATTCACATTCACTGGGCAACTACACATCAGAAATGAACTCTTCAATGTTAAATATGAGCAAAATCAATCCTTCTGTTCAGGCACTAGGAGGGCACATATCCATCCACAGAGACATTTGGCACTCCAAATCTACTTTTCATATCTACTGATGTTCAATATGTAAATCTGTCAAATCTTAAGATAAATTTTTTCACAATCAAAATATTTTCTCATATATACTATGTATATGAGAAAATGGTGTTGGATCTAAGAGTCCCAGTTTTAAGGTAGCTCAATCTAAAACTTTCCTGCGCTGTGCTCATTTCTTCACGTTCCAGCCAAAGCCCCATACAACCAAGGTGTATTTTTTCCCCAATTTACTGTTTTATCTACATTCAATAAACAAAATCTGTCCCTATATGAAACCTCTACTTCAGTTTAGTACTGCAGCTACCCAAAAGAAAGGTGAGTTTTCACCTTATTTTAAGAGTTAAAAAGATATCACCTTCAGTGTGAAAAATATATTATTTTAAAACATTATGTTTAGTGGGCTGATGCTTTTGAAATGCAGTACCTGCCAACAATCATGCCATATAACTCCACCGACATAACAAGTGAGAAAAAACACAATAATTGGCAGAAGCCATGACATACGAATCTGACTGAAGCTATGAATATGAAGCTGTAATTCCTCAAGAAGAGACATTACAGCAAGGCCGGCAAGTCAGGAAAAGTCAACACTGTTAATGTGAGGATAAGAAGTGCCCTAAAGCACAATAATATCATGTCTGCTTGTAACTGCATAAAAATATCATTTTAGTGCATATGTCACATTTCTTTGTGGGAGGTTCTCTTAGATACAGTGTCTTCCATTTGTGTAAGAACAGTATTCATATGCCACCACTGCTTGATCAAAGAGACTTTGAACTTTACACGTTTCCTTGCTGACCTTGAGCCAAAGTCGACACAATTCTGCCTCCTCTCTCCAAATGAACACAGTCGACTTTCTTGAAACTCCAACATAATTAGCAGCATGAAATTCTCAGACACTGTCACGGTTGGCGCAAGTCAAAATGCTGCCCCAAACAGCAAAAAATTCCACAACCATACCCCCGTCAAATGGCCAAGCCCTAGGTCAAACGGTTAGTCACTGGCTTCCCACTGCGGCAGCCCGGGTTTGATCCTGGGTCTAGTCAAGTGGGATTTGTCATGGACAAAGTGGACCTGGGCCGGGTTTTCTCCGAGTATTTCAGTTTCCCACGCCAATCTTCAATTCACCAAATTCTCCATCATCATAATCACCTGGGGCAGGTACAATAGGCCAATCAGTGGCTGCCCTGCCGAGCGGACCCAGCTGGACTCCACCCCCCAGTAAGCTAATCCCCCAGTCAAAAACAGACCATGTATCTCAGAACTCTTTGTCACTATAACATAATATTTTCAAACACTCTGACAAAAATTATTCTAATTCTTAAAACAGTTTTAATACCTGCTGCAGACACATTTAAATTACTGCCACTTATGTCAAGATACGAACAAAAGAAATTAATTTTAACTCGACAAAAGGCAGAAGTGGGGGTTAAACATGCCATCCCTAAAACTGTGCTGCCTCAGAAGGCTGCTTGGTTTGCTTGTGCTGTTATTGCCATGTCAGGATGAAGGAATTTCTGCAATTAGGCATTATCAAGTTATTTCAAGACTTATGTAACATACATTTATTAAAGCAAATGTGTAATTAACAACAGTGTAATTTTATACCAGAAATGAACTTCCATTAACGATTTTCATCGATTTAAGATACAGAAATCCTGTCTTCAAGGCAGACCTTAAATGCTGATTTAACTTCGTCACAGACCAATAATAATGGAGGTGCCATAAAATGCGTTTTCCCCTACGTAACACCAAGAGGGGCATGCAGCAGTGTAGTTGCTTGAGGTACTATGCTATAAGCTGGAAGGTCACGGGTTACAGGTGAGTGCGCCAAAGAGATGGATTTTTTTTTAATTTACCTAATCCTTCCAGCCACACTATGGCCCTGGGGTCGACTCAGCCTCTAACAGAAACAAGTACCAGGAATCTTCCTGGGGGCAAGGGCGGCCAGCTCATAAGGCTGAAAACCTTATTGCCATCTGTGAGCCAACTGTCTACAGAAAATGTGGGACCTTCGACACCTCACAACCGAATGGACCTTCACAGCCTGTTACAGGGATAGCTTTACCATTTAACAACAAGAATGTGAAAAGCCACACCTCTGTTGCAATAATGTTCCAGTTATTACATACTCCTACCTACTGCAATTACTGTACATGCTAGCTTTATTTAAGGTGGCAGGAATAAGCTCAGGATACAGTTAACTAGATTTGAGCTCCTGTTATTCATGTTATTTCTGTTTCATTTCATAAGCAAAGTGCGGTATGTACTGGACACCTAAAATATTGTAGGATACAGACCTGTTGCTAGGCAACAACCATGAAACAAATGAAACAATGGCAGTCGCTAGGCAGTGGTCCGCAAATAACAGAGGAATGGTATTGGCAGTGCAATCTGATAAGCAACAATTGAAGACTATAAGAGGAGGGGTGTTTTCTGTGCGGTCTGTGCCAATATGTTATAAGCAGGACAAGTGTGGAGTGGAGTGGAGTTCAGTTCAGTGAGTGGAGGGATGCGTGAGCATGCTAGGAGACTGCTGTGGTTCATTCCTTGTGAGCTGTGCTGTGAAAAGCAGCAGTTATCACCTAATATTTCACTACTGAACCGAGTAAACTACAAAGTGGCACAAGGCATATATGCAGCTTTTTGCAGATGGGAACAGAATGCTATGACCACTCTATTATAGAATAAGATTTTGGAATATACGTTACTTCTATGTGGACGAATATGGTAATTACTGTAAACTTTTTAAAGACAAACAGACAATAAGTGAGCCTGGCTACCCACATGAAGGAACACTGCATGTGACATGGTATTTAAGAGCAAATAAAACAGAAACCCCCCTCGTTGGTGTCTCCACCTTATCGTGGTGAGGGGTTTGAGTATGCCAAGAACCCTGAGAGCTATACCAGCGGTAGCGTAGCTACTGGCAGGGCCTCCCTTGCTGGACAGGTCAAAGGGTAGGTATCAGATGAAGAGAGACACCAAAAACCAAAAACTGATGCCGGAAGCAGCGTCATCAGCAGCGACTTGAAGCACAGAGCAAATGATGCTCGAGATGGTTCAAGTTCGTATAGCAACAGGCATGACCAGAGTGGTTTGAATGGCTGTTGTACTGCGATGTGGAAAGCAAATGGAAAAACTACCACATTATCACCTTTCCTGGATAGTCTCTTTCCAAAAACAGAGACACCATGTACGCGAACCAGAAGACGAGGAAGAGGACGTAAGAAGATGCTGGATGATTTTGGGGACAGAAGAGGATATTTTTATTTGAAGGAGAAAACTCTGGATCACATTAAGTGGAGGAACTGTTTTGGAAGAGACTGTGGACCTGTCGTCTGACAGATTACTGATGATTGAAAACAGATGTTCTCAGAAAGCTAATTTGCTGAACAAACTGGACTCACCAGAGCTGCTTGATGGCTGGTTGCATCTGGTAGGAATTGTCCAAACTCTGCAAGCAAATCCTCTTGGTTCTCGAACAGCTTGGCAACCTGGGAGTATACTTCTGCTTCAGTCAGGTGCTTACCCGGAGTGCTCAGGCCCTCCTTCAAGTTGCGTTGTTCCTTTTGGTAAGTATGGAGGATTTCAAGGAAACGCTTGTACTTATCAGGCTGACCCTGGAAACGGTTCTGCAACATATTAAGTAACAAGCACAAATAAGGATATAGCTTGAACCGTCTGAAGACGATTCAAAGGGTTCGCCCCGTGAAAGGCGTCGTGGAATAGCAGTCAACCACAGCCAATGGTCATATATTTCTTGTAATGTTCTTTTTAAAGATGTCACGTGACCCTCCCCCTCTTTTTTCCTTCCTCCTCCTCTTGTCGTGGCAAGATGACACGAACGATCGCTCTCTTTCCCTGGGTGGCGGTCGTGCAGGGTGGTTGTCCCTGCTCTTAGAAATTTCTGTTTGGTTTCCTTTTTTTTTCAAAATTAAATTTATTTTTGGAAGTCAGCGCGGTGTGTCCCGGGAGAGGGCCCCTTTGCTGAGCTATGGAGCAATGGCGAGGCAAAGGTGTTTTTTTATAAATATATACGTATGGGTACCCTGTGACTACGTATACACATGTGAGTATTATTATTTTTTCTTTTCTTTTCTTGCTTGGTGAAATTAAATGGGCGGTGCCCCATGAGAAAGGTACTGGCTTGAATGACCGGAGTGGGTCATGCTAGGTTTCTTGTAATATCGTTTCTTGTATATATATCATATGTTTTATTGCCTTTATTATTGTTAATGTATATTTATTTCGTTATTATATTTTTGTATTGTTAAACTCAGTCAGCATTGCTCTCGAATTGTGCGTGTATTTCCCACAACAACAAGTGAATGAACTCCTCCCCCTTTCCCTCTCCTGAAATTTCGGACTGGTTACAGTCCGGGTAAATAACGGTTCACA